ACATAGAGCTTGAGCTTTTTCTCATCAAATGCTAGAGGATTGTTAGAGTTTACAGTCAAAATTAGGAACTCTTGTATTGACATACCAATGGAATGGATCTCTAGCTCGATCCGTGGTGACATGATCTTATACCATTGAAATATCTTTGAAACCCACCATCTGCTACCTTCAAAGCGGGGAACTCGGCAGAATGGATGAATAAAGGATGCATTCTTGGTGAAATATTCCTTAATGACGGTTTCTTGCAAAGATGGCGGCGACTGTGTCAGACGCCGGATCACGGTAGGTATATCGGCCACTATATGGATGAGCAGGAGATAAATACAGAAAAGCAAACTGACAACGTACCTGGGTTTTCCATTTTGATCAAAGGCTCAAGAGTGTTTGTTGTAGAAAAGAGACAAAGATATATCAAGAGACAAGAGTTGGCCCTGGGTGGGAATCCAATGACGTCATGTTCGACTTTCCCCTGGAATTTACATGTGAATCTCATCTGATGTGTCTAGTTAGGACCTATCCAATGAAACAAGTGCTTCTCAAATAAGTGCTTTGGATATATGATTTATAGAGGCCATATGAACGATTGTGTTTATACCAGCCCTAGAGGGCAATGCGAGATGCCGGTCTTATATTCCGGTAAGGCATAAAATATACACATAGGACATCAACAGCCCTAGGAATTCATCTGATGAAATCATATCCTTCAATGTATGCCGTAGAATATAGATACAGATATGGACTGGTCAAGATGGACCTTGGGTAATCAAGAAAACTCCAAAGTGATTGAATTCCAGAAAGAAACGCCTTTGAACATGGAAATTGCCCGTTGCAACCACTTTTTACCGCTTCCAGGTATCAACCTTCTTTCGTCGCTTGTCAAAGAATTGACCCATGCCCACACCATCACCACGTTGCCCGTCCTCGTTGCGGACTCGCTTCCGACTCTTCTCGAGTGCGCCGCTGCTTTTGGATTTCCGGGTAAGACGTTCAATGTTATCTGCGCCTTCATTGAGACCCTTCCATTCATCGCCGCCGTATGTGCCATCCTTTCCGAAGCCCTTTTTGGCCAATTCCTTCTTAGTCTGCTTCGGCAATCGGACAAAGTTGGTCTCTTCGTAGGTGGTACGCTCTGCCTCGCGCTCGCGGTCCTTCTTTGACTTGACCGTTCGGCCACCATCAATAATTGTGCTACCGATACTGGGCTCAGCCATGGGCGCGGACGACATTTCAGCGCTGACGAATTCGTCGATGACGTTGGATCGAATGGGTCTGCGGTCCTGGCGTTCGCGACGCTCCGTCGTAGGCAAAGAAGTCGGCATGATCCTCGGGGGCCGATAAATGCCGTCTCCGGGTCCTTCGGCGGCGGCACCCTTGGAGGGTTGGGCCTTCTTCTTCTCGGCGACTCCCTTGGCGAAGGCAGAGACATTGGGTCGGTACGCCATCTCATCGATGTCCTCGTCATTCTCGCTACCGCTCGCATCTTCGTCCTCGTCCGAGGAGGCTTCGCTGTCTGATGTCGCGACTTTGCGGGTTTTCTTGGTCTTGGTCGGCTGAGCCTTCTCTGTCCGCTCCGCATCCTCTGCGGCCTTGATGACCTTGTCGACCTGGTACTTCAAGCGTCCTTCCAAAGGACGAACACCGCGCTCGAGGAACACCCGAAGCTCGATCAACTTCTTGCGAATATCATCTTCGAGGGAGTTTTCCGTGGATTGGCTCTTCTCTTTCGGGGATTGTTTTGCTGACACATTTCGCAGTTGGAAAATAATCAGAAATACGAGGTTTTGCAAGTAGGAGAGGAGAATTTCGCTCTTGGTGTCGAGGAGAGAGATGCCATCTTGGGGAGGCTCGATCGTGACATCGGAAGGCGCATCCTTGTGTGACTTGGGTAGCGAAGAGGCAGTTGTAGACAGACAGGTGTTCAGGGTCTCGAGCAATGTCGATAGACTTTGAGGGCGTGCAGACGCCTGCGCTGGAGCCATGATTGAGATTGATGGGGCTTATAGAGAACAATAATTCGCGAACAAAAAAATTTGGCCGCTTCAACGATAACACCGGTCACGTGTGATAAGGCAAAGCACTAAGGCACCACGGCATCCTTTGATCGTCATTGCCAGTCTGTCACTCGCAGTTTGTTAATTTGGCATTTTACTTCCCTTCAAGTGTCGCGAGCTTATCACGGATGAGACCGTGATTTTGTTTTCCTCGGGTAGCTTCTTGCTGTAAACAACCCCTTTTTCCTTTGCGATCGTCCATTGAGACCCTAGCTCTACTTCTGTCCTCCCAAACAAACAATCGAGGTTGACTTCTAGGCTCCCAAATTCTATAGACACACACCATGCGTTTCACCGATCGAGCCCTTTTTCTTTCGTCGACTCTACTAGCAATTCCTTCTTTGACCACGGCTTTTTACCTGCCAGGTGTTGCGCCGACCTCGTACGACGAAGGACAAGCAGTTCCACTTTATGTCAACCACCTCACTCCCAGCCTGTCTCGCGATGATCAGCTCCATTCGGTCTTCTCATTCGACTACTACCATCCCGCATTCGGGTTCTGCCGACCCGCAGACGGTCCCAAAGATGTGAGGGAATCTCTGGGGAGCATTTTATTCGGTGATCGAATTCGCACCTCGCCATTCGAGCTTCACATGGCAAAGAACGAGACCTGCAAAGCAGTATGTGGGGAGGTCAAATTCGATGCCCGCAGCGCAAAGTGGACCAATCGGCGAATAGCTCAGGGCTACAACATTAACTGGATTGTGGATGGGTTGCCGGCCGCGCAGTTGAACTATGACGGTGTTACCAAGACCAAATTCTACAACCCTGGCTTCTCTCTGGGTGAACTAGATGACAGTGGGCAGGCTCTGCTCAACAATCACTACGACATTGTGATTGATTACCATAAGGTGGGCTTCGGCGGCAAGGATAAATATCGCGTTGTCGGAGTGCTTGTCCAGCCCGAGTCTCGCAAGGATTCCCGGAACTTGGAAGGTGGGACCGCTGAGTGTGGTACCCCGGGCAATGGTCTTACACTCAACGAAGACGGGGATACCACAGTCACCTGGACGTATAGTGTGTACTGGAAAGAGTCCCCCACAGCCTGGGCTACCCGGTGGGATAAGTATCTCCATGTCTATGACCCCAAGATTCACTGGTTCTCTCTCATCAACTCGGCTGTCTTTGTGGTTTTCCTCGTGGGTATGGTCAGCATGATTCTAGTCCGCGCGCTCAAGAAGGATATCGCTCGCTATAACCGGCTGGATTCGTTCAATCTGGAGGATTTGGATTCCACTTCGGCTGCGATCGAAGACGGAGTCCAGGAGGATTCTGGCTGGAAGTTGGTGCATGGCGATGTCTTCCGGTGCCCCAAGTCTCCACTGCTGCTGAGCGTGATGGTTGGCAATGGCGCCCAGCTGTTCATGATGATCGGTGTGACTGTTGGTAGGTAGTCCGACTCACGTTCCTCTCCTCTCGGGTACTAATTTTCACTTCTAGTATTTGCCCTGTTTGGCCTCCTCTCTCCTTCCAACCGTGGATTCCTGGCTACCGCCATTCTACTGATTTCCGCCCTTTTCGGTTCCATCGGTGGTTACGTGTCGGCGCGAGTGTACAAGACATTCGGTGGTGATGCTTGGAGGCGCAACATTATCATGACACCTCTGTTCATCCCTGGCATTGTATTTATTACTTTCTTCATCCTGAATCTCTTTGTTTGGGCCAAGGGATCCAGCGGTGCCGTGCCATTTGGAACTATGTTGGCACTGGTTTTGATTTGGTTTGTTATCAGTGTGCCATTGAGCGTTGCAGGCAGCTGGTTGGGATTCAAGCAATCGGTACTACCAAACAAAGCCTCACCCCCATATCCAGACAAATGACTAACCTCACTTTCCAATAGCCGCTTGAGGGTCCTACCAAGACGAACCAGATCCCTCGGCAGGTTCCTCCGATGTCTGGTAGCCTGCGCACAATTCCGTCGATTCTACTGACCGGGATTCTCCCCTTCGGTGCGATTTTCGTCGAGCTGTACTTCATTATGACCTCCCTCTGGACCAACAAGATCTACTATATGTTTGGGTTCCTATTCCTCTGCTACGGCTTGATGATCATTACCTCTGCGGCTACCACCGTCTTGCTAGTGTATTTCTTGCTCTGTGCAGAGAACTACCGGTGGCATTGGCGCGCATTTATTGGCGCGGGTATGACCGGAGGGTATGTCTTTCTGAATGCGCTTATTTTCTGGGCGACACGGGTCAGCTTTGGTGGATTGACTGGGGCGGTGCTCTATGTCGGATATTCGGCGTTGATCGCCTTCATTGTATTCATCCTAACTGGTACGTTTCCGTTCCTGTGTGTTCCGGATGGGCTTTTTTTGCTGACTTGTGTCCAGGTTCTATTGGTTTCTTTGCTAGTTGGGCATTCATTCACCGTATCTATGGCTCAATCAAGGTGGACTAAAGGTCTTCCTATTGGTGCTTCTCACATTTAGCCTTGCATTTTGGGGTCTTTACGAGAGAAGACTCCCTTGTTCTTGTGTTTTCTTTTGCTCTCTCTCTTTTTCCCCAAAAACACCTCATTGCTTGGAGGGGTCTACCTCATCGCAGATAGATTGGAAATGTTTTGATATGGAGAAATGGAAGTGGATTATACGTATATACGCGGTAATGATATTGTCAACTTGATAGAAAAGTGCCAAGCCCAGTACCTCGGATGTTCTAGACTTCCCTATTGTTATCTCGCCACCTTGATTTTAACCTCTTCTCTATCTTTTAGAAATACCCGAATCTCTTGTAATACTTCACTTTACCAACTTATTTCATCTGATCTCATCTTACATCGCTAGGGGCGCCCCTTGCGTATTCTTGCCACGTCTCAGCCACATCTCAGCCACACATCCCGCCTGTTTCTACCCCGCGTCACCACTCCGAGCTCGTTACAAGGCCATCAGTCCCCGATTTGCTTTGACGTTTGCGCTCTTGATATTATTCTAGAGGCGTGTTGTTGATCATGGGAAAGTCGTAAGTTCCTCATCCGCTTACCCTGTTCGAAATGGCGGTGGAACGGATCGTGCGGATTCAGCATGCGCCTTTCTCTCAGGGGAAACAATCCAGGACCAAAGGCCCCAGTACCTTCGGTCTGAGACCGCGTTGAATATCACGCGACCTGAATACAGACCAGCGCTGACCCTGTGTTCCGCAGTCAATCAAAGCTTTCACCGACGCAGCTCGATGAGCTGCAACGGGCAACACATTTCGATAAGAAGGAGCTACAACAATGGTATAAAGGTATGCGGATATATGGGACGCGTATGAGACACGGAGATTCAAGGCGCTGATTGTGGATATGTCCAGGTTTCCTCAAGGACTGCCCATCCGGTACCCTGACCAAGGAAGAGTTCCAGAAAATCTACCGACAGTTCTTCCCCTTCGGCGACCCGTCATCATTTGCCAATTATGTCTTTCGCGTTTTCGACTCGGACAACAGTGGTATGATCGATTTCAAAGAGTTCATCTGCGCTCTTTCCGTGACTTCACGAGGCAAGATGGAGGATAAACTGGATTGGGCATTCCAATTGTACGATATTGACGGCGATGGGAAAATCACTTATGACGAAATGCTGGCCATTGTCGAGGCGATTTACAAGATGGTATGTACAATGGCGTTCGTGAAAGATATCATACCTTCAATAACTAACGGGAATACAGGTCGGATCCATGGTGAAGCTCCCCGAAGACGAAGATACCCCCGAGAAACGCGTACGGAAGATCTTCCGGATGATGGACAAGGATGAGAACGGCAGTCTCGATATCGAGGAGTTCAAAGAAGGCAGCAAACGGGATGAAACCATCGTCAGTGCCTTGTCGCTTTACGACGGATTGGTTTAGATTGTTGCTTGGGCGAATACTGGCGCAATGTGAGGCATTCTCTTTTGGATGGGCGAGGGGGATGCAACTGCATATTCTCTGTTTCTTTGCTTTCTCTGTCTCTCTAGTTTTATTTCGTTTCTTGTCTTCATCTTTTCGATTACCCCCCATGTCTTATGTATATTTGAGATAAGTCAGCCTTGGTAGTGAAGTGTATACAGTGTCTATCAACTTGGCTTTGGCTTTGGCTTTGGCTTTGGCTTTGGCTTTGGCTTTGGCTTTGGCTTTGGATTTTTTTTTTCTTTAGTCGACTACATAACCTCCTTCAGAAAGAGCAAGAAGGTTCGACAGGAATCGAATCAATCAACCGTCGTCTCGTATATAGTAGTATGTCACATCAAAATCACTCAAGTCGGCCCCGCCGCAGACTAACTACCAGATCTTCTCCATTCTATCTGGAAGTGATGTACAAGGGTATCAGGAAGATGCAAGAGCCAGTCCCCGACATGCAGGGCACGATCTAATGTACTGGAATGAAAAATGCAAAGGAAACATGGGAAAACAATATGTATCAAAATCACATCAGAACAAGAAAAGCATGCTGATCAGATAGATGATCGATGAAGAAAAAGAAGAAACTCGTGAGACAGCGTAAAGAGGAATCAATATAGATCAATGTCAGCCAATATCAACCACATGCTAGCGAAAGAAGCACGAATTGCACGAGATCTGGGGTGCATGGTACACAGCCATCAAGCCTCAGAAGCAGTTGTGCAAGGGACGAGCAACTTTCTGAGAGTGGGCTAGGATCATCGGCGATCAAAAAACCAGCTGCTGCGCTTCCCGGTCGCTTCCTGCGATTGTACGCCCGCGACGTTCGCATTCGCCGGCCCGTCGCCGCCACCGCGTAGTGGCTTCGCGATGCGCGACCCCCGAAGCTGAAACTCGCATTCCCATCCATGCTCGGTAAGCCGCGGGTGGAACCTTGCTTCGCTGCTTCGAGGCGTTCCTTAACAGCGGTGAGTTGAGCTTCGAATCTATCAGCGTAGTTAGTATCGGGTATCATTAAGCAAAATCTGGAGGAATGAGTTAACACATACCGGTGGTTGGCCTGGGTAAGTTTCTCTTGACTCTCCTGAAGCAGAGCTTCCAGGCTGGCAATGCGCTCGTTTCTTGCAATCAGCTTCCGCTCCGCGATTGCCACCTCCTTCTTCAAGCTACTATTTTGTTCCACGAGTTGACGCTGCACGTGGGTCAATTGCTCCAGGTTGCGCTCCAAGAAGGCCATCTTCTTCTGCTGAGCCCGGTTATTTGATGATCGAAGGACGTTATTATACTGTTCTCGTGCATCATCCAAGGAGATTTCTAACTCGACGACACGCTCGCAGCGGTTCTGCAGGTCACGCATGAGAGACTTCTTCATAGCATCGAACTCGGTGATTTGCTGCTGCAAAGTCTTGCTTGCGGCGCCATTGGTAGAGGTCCGGGATTGGGTGTCGACAAGAGATTGTCGCAACTTGGTCAACTCCTCATCTTTGCGCGAAATATCAGAACGAAGCTCCTCAGCTGCCGCAGTCTCAGCCTCCTTCTTTGTCACGTAGACCTGCTCTAGTCGTCCTCGAATCTCTTCCACATCGCCTTCACTCAAGTTGCGGGCCAAGAGACTCTCATATTCTCGCTGAAGGTCATCTAGCTTCTTTTCCAAGTCTGCACGGCGGCTGTCCTGCAGCTCGCCAAAGTCACTTCGGTCGTTCACGGTCAGCTCGGCTTGTCGGATAAAGCCTTGCGCCTCGAGAAGATTCGTGCGAAGCTCAAGGATGTCGTCTGGTGCAATGACTTCACCCTCAGAGCTGATTTGGTGTAGAGTGTCAACGCGCTGAATGAGGTCTTGCAGCTTGCGTTCGTTATCGGAGAACACATCGCCACCGAGGTCAAACCCAGCCATCATCTTAGCCATCTTTTCAGTCTTCTTCTTTTCCTTCTCATCCAATGCCGCAGTGGTCTCCTTTGCCCTCATTCGGACATCTAGAAGCTGCTGCTTCACTTCATCTAGCTCGCCTGTGAGTTCCGAGTTGGCCTCCCGGAGGCCATCCATGGTGATGGCGGCTTCCTTGCTCTCATAGGAGACCTTCTCGAGCTGCATGCGGAGCTCGTTGACTTCTGTGCCCAGGCGCTCATTATCCTTGCCGGTTCGTGCGCCATTCTCTTTCATAGATCTAAGCTCGTCGCGTGCCTCGCGGAGGCTGCGCTCCACGTTGACAATGTGTGACTCCTTTTCTGAGAGCTGGTCTTGGAATTCATTCTCACGGCGCAAGAATTCCTCACGCTCATCCTTCTCCAGCACCAGGCTGGGGGTGCTAGACCGATCTCCAACCCGTGAATCTGGGCGCGGGGTTTCTGAACGCGCAGTCTCCTGTAAACGCGAGGGGGTACCCGGCCGTGGGCCGCGGGCTTCAGTCTTCGCGGCACTGACAAGTTCATTTCCCCGCGAGGGAGTCCAGTGCTCCTTGGGGACGCTATCACCGCTGCGCCACATAACGATTTCACCCTCGAGCGCTGAGATGTAGTTTTCGAAATTTGTCACTTGACTTTGCGCCTTGCGCAGCAGTTGCCTCATCTCTGAGGAGCTTAGCTCTGCATTGACCTTGGCCTTGTTCTTGATGGCCTTAGCGCGCACACCGAAACGCAAGGTTGAAATTGTTTCCGCATCGTTGTAGCTGCTGGGCGAACAGTTGATAATCAAGGTAGTTCGAGAGTTTCCACCGAGCGACTCTTGGAGAATTCGAGTGAGTTTGGAGTCACGGTAAGGAATGTGTGTCGATTTGCCGTCGGTCAATGCGTTGATGACCATTCCTAGGGCACTCAAACTCTTGTTGATCTTTTTGGCCTCCTCCAGAGTCTGGCCACTTGCGCCGGTCTTTCCAACCTTTTCACTACCAGCCAAATCAACCAAAAACAATTGGCCACTCTTGGCGGACCCAGTCTCGACATTCTTCTGGGTGACGGTGATGACGAAGATGGAGTGGGAGCGAGACGATTCCTGGTTCATATTCGTCGCAGCTACGGCGCGTGCTGCTCCTCCCCGGCGCATAACTTCGTAGACCTCTGGCACGCTCGACACGTATACTTCCAGCAATCCTTTAACGTAAACTCCGCGAGCTTTCTCCTCATGGACTGGCAAGTTGTCGTTTTGGGGCACCAGCAAATCACGGATCCGCTCCATGTAAATTTCCATATAGCTGACCCGTACGGTGTACTCGATGTTACTCGGACTAGTGAGGATGCTGGCGAAGATTTGCTCGATCATGCGTGGAATGATACCTTTCTCTATGTCATCGTCGATGTCGGAACCCATCATCGTATATGATTTTCCGGCACCAGTCTGACCATAGGCAAAAACTGTTCCGTTATATCCATTTAGAATATCGTCCACAGTCGGTCGGATAGAGAAATCGAAGATGTCATTTTGCGCAGTGTCCATAGGAAACACCCGATCAAACGTGAAGGCCCCTGTGCCCTCTCGGGACTGAAATATTTGTCAGTATACCCCTCGTAGTTTTGGCTTCAGTTCAGACTCACGTTGATGCTACATGACTCTTCATTCTCGAAATCGACGATGGGTTTACCCCCGGAGGCCAATTCGACCTTGTTTTGCGGACGGAACCTAGCAACCACTATATATGTTTAATCAGTATCATTCTCAGTAAGATGCGCCTTGGTTTAATGTGACAGCCTGTGCATACCCTTGATGGTGTTCGACCCCGCGGACCTGTGGAATGTTAGTTACGGCAAACGCACGATAGGCCCAGGCGTATACTCACGCCATATTTGTAGAATGTGAACTTTGCTATGAGACGCGCAATTTAAAAAATAGACCCCGAGAAGGGGTAGGTATGCCTCGGAGTTCGTCAACAGCGTTAGAAATGGGAACTCGTCTGTTGCGGTGTAGTGGTTCGGAGGGGTGTGGGTTGGGAATCAGGGGTCCACGTGGACCGTGGACCAAAACGCTCAAGAAATGAAGAAAAAGATAAAGTAGCAGTCAGGCCGCAAAGAAAGGACGGCCAAACCAAGAAGACCTACAACGGGACTTTGCAGGGGAGGGGGTTGACGCGCAAGAGTGGGATTTCGACTGTTGACAGTCACCCCGTTTGGGCTTACCGCCCCCGGACTCGGAGATGCACCCTGCAGATAAGCTTAATGTATAGAGAACTATACAAGCACGCATGTATAATTGAATATCTTATATATTTAGGTACCCATTTCTTGTCTCTACATGTCAAGGGATCACAACACAGGTTTTGCAGGAAAATCAGGCTAATGCACTAAAACTAAACTATGAGACTAATTTATAAACTCGCCTGGCATGACTAGACGAAGGATGAAGAATCATGAACTAGAGATATCGGAAAAAAGGGAGATGAAGGAAAAAAAGAGAAGAAAAAAAGAATACACAACCTGAAACAATAAGATACCAAGCGCCAAACCCCACGCTGTGCAGATCGAACGGTCAAGCTGCTGTGCTCATTCATAAAACTATCAGCCCATCAAACTCGGCTCGGCGAATTTGATTGCTCAATTGTCTTCCCAGCTTTTCTCGACCGTCTCTCGCACTCGCTTGGTGTACTCCTTGCGGTTGTCTTTGTAGAGGTTCGAGGCCTCGACGTTGGCCGGAGACGAGGTGTTAGGGTCATTCAAGAGACTAGAATTGACAAGTCACATATTAGCATCTGCATAGCAATCTTTCATAGAAAAACCAGCCCTACCTTTGAATACTAGTAAGAATGGCCGCCACATCATAGGTCGGGCTCCAGCGGTTCTGCAAAATGTCGAGACAGAGCTCACCGGTTCCATACACATTGGGATGGAACATCTGGCTTATAAATTTCACACCCGGGGGCTTGTTGGGGTATTGTTCTTCGAAATTCATGACCAGGCGGAATGTGCCATCTTCGAACGGCGTGTCGGCGGGGCCAATGATGACGGCATTCCTAGCATTCCATTAGAACCATTGTCAACATCTTCAAAGAATACTCTAGGAGAAACCTACCATGTCATAACATTATCAGCGACGGGAGATGCAGAGACGCCAGCTGGAGGATCGGTTTGCATGCGCTGTGAGCATGGAAATGTTAGCGGAGGCGAATCATCTTAGACACAGAACACTGGGGGAGAATCTAAGAAGTAAATTGGGCAACAAAAGACACATAGAAAGAATTTAAGATGGTCTCATTTATGGATACAGCGGAAACGTTCGAATAGCCTAAGGTGAGGTGATGGTATTAACGCGTACCTTGAAGTCCCGCATGAGACGACGGCGGGCGGATGTAGACATGATAGAACAATCGGGGGAGGCGTAAAGTGATTAAGATAGCTTGCTAGAGCTGTGAGTATGTAGCTAGAGATCAGGACCTTCTAGAGACAGTCAAGTGAGAAGGGAAAAGAGAGAGGGGAGAGAGGAGAGGAAACCCGAAAGTCATTGATACGGTAAGGCGATATGCAGCGAAGCGATGGAGGGGAAGATCGGAGGAAATACCCCAATGGAGAAACCCACCTAAGAAGGCTAGATTCAAGTCAAGAGAGCTTCGGGTCCCGGGAGCTCCTGACTCAGCAGTTATTATGTCACGGTCATGGTGACCGCCTTGGGAGCCTCGGTCCAAGCGGAGTGGCGGTTATAGGCGGGTACACGGGCGGATAGATTCCGATATGCACATGCAACAGCATTCCTCCGCTCTTTGGTCTTGAATCTCTCCTCTTAATAACCCTTTCATTCTTAAATACCGTCAACTCACGAAATTACCCTTATCTTAAACAAAATCATGATTACCCCAGGCCTGTGTGCTCGTCTCCCTAAGCGGGCCTTCCCCGCATTCCGCACCCAGCGACAGTTCAGTTCCGCACGCCCGACATGCAAGGAGATTCAGGAAGCTTACATTTTGAGTGCATCTCGAACACCAACAGCAAAGGTGTGTAAATTTGGAGAGATGTTCTGAGTAGCAATTCACTAACTTGCGGTTGGCCAGTTCAATGGTTCTTTTGCTTCCGTATCAGCACCTGAGCTTGGCGCTGTTGCAATCAAATCCGCCCTAGAGAAATCCAAGGTACCTGTTGAGAAGATCACGGATGTGTATATGGGAAATGTCTTGCAGGGCTCAGTAGGCCAGGCACCTGCCCGTCAGGCATCTATTTTTGCTGGTCTCCCTTCTACAGTCGAAGCTACGACAATCAACAAGGTCTGCGCTTCTGGCTTGAAGGCAGTGGCACTTGCCGCACAAAATATTCAACTGGGCTTGGCAGAGGCACAGGTGGCTGGAGGCATGGAGAACATGACTCGTGTTCCCTATTATATGGCGCGTGCCAGCCAATTGCCCCCCTTTGGTGATATCAAGCTAGAGGATGGTCTCATCAAGGATGGTCTATGGGATGTTTACAACAAGTTCCACATGGGTATCTGTGCAGAACACACTGCGAAGAATTATGACATCTCGCGAGAGGACCAGGATTCATATGCTATCCAATCATACGAGCGAGCCCAGCAGGCATGGAAGGAGAACAAGTTTGGCGATGAAATCGCCGCTGTTACTGTGAAAGGTAAGAAAGGTGATACCATTATCGAGCGCGATGAGGGCTTCGAAAACTTGCGTGCCGACAAGTTGAAGAGCCTGAAGCCTGCCTTCCTGCGAGACGGGACTGGTACCGTGACCGCTGGCAACGCATCTACCATGAATGACGGAGCATCCGCTCTGATTTTGGGCAACAAGGATATTGCTCGCCAATATGGCGCTGGCAGCCGGGTCTTGGCCCGTATCGTTTCCTCAGCCGATGCCGCCATCGACCCCGTCGACTTCCCAGTGGCCCCTGCCAAGGCGGTCCCGATTGCGCTGGAGCGTGCCGGTATTACCAAGGACCAAGTAGCGGTATGGGAATTCAACGAGGCTTTTGCTGCTGTCATCAAAGCCAATGAAAAGGTTAGTGTCGTATTCGTCTATCTTCCAGATCAAGTCTAACTCCTCTAGATCCTCGGTTTGCAAAACGCCAAAGTCAACATGCTTGGAGGTGCCATCTCTTTGGGACATGCTCTCGGCAGCTCAGGATCTCGTATCCTCGTCACCTTGCTCCACCAACTGCAGCCCGGCGAGTATGGAGTGGCTGCGATCTGTAACGGCGGCGGTGCCGCGACTGCGATGGTTGTGCAGAGGCTAGATCGAGTGGATTGATTCCACCAAAATATTCCTGAAGTGTTTTCGGGCAAGCAAGTTATGACTTGATACCCTCAAATAAACGATCTAAGTTTGGATATCATCCTGTGTAGCGGGCACAGGTATATTTCCTACGATTCGAATAACAGATTCACTCGCCCGGTTTTTTTCCGGGTCCTTCTATGTAAAATTTTTCACCTGTTTCATTCCGGAGCTTTCTATATGGAGTATACTACGCAGCCCGCGCGTGCGCGCGCTGCCTTATTCTTCTCTCTATCGTCTCTCAGATCTCAGATCTCTTAGAAATTCCACTGAAAGCATGAATCTATCGTTTATTTTCTCTTTTTCTCGTCTCAAGTCTTTTCATGCCATTTTGCGACTTTGAGGCGATCCTTGGCTGGTCATTTGGAGTTGGCGCCTGATTTCTCAGGAATCCACTCAGCAGAATGCAACCCAAACAAAAGCAGATCTCTCGCTACCCTCCCTCATACCTTCATACTTTACCTCGCAAACCATTTGTTTACCAAGAATGCTGGCGCGGCAAAAATCCTATCTTTGACGATATGCTGAACCCTGTGGCCCTACCATTATCTCCATCCTGCCATGACGCCATTTCTTGGTCCCCGGACGGCGAGATTGCTATCGCTGCGGGTGAATACTTCCAAATCCTGGTATGTATCTAGTCATTTCATGAGCTTGGACATTACTGAATTTTGACAGACACCCAAAAATGGCCCTGATGATGATGCCGCCCCCAACTCAACTCAAGATTGGCTCGTGGCTCGTGTTAGAGCCAACTTGTTTACGAACTCTGAATGGCCGCATTACCTTCCGGGAAATCGAGATGATTTTTCGGTCGCCGCAGACCTCTCAGAAAGCAATGTCGTCAGTCTAGCTTGGTCACCAGCAGGGCTAGGCAAATATCGACGTAGTGTGCTAGCCGTGCTGACGTCGAATCTGGTACTGTCCCTCTGGGAGCCCATTGGACTTAAGAAGCAATGGACTAGGGTTGCCATCGCCAATCATGTGTTTTGGCCACAGCTTCTACCGTCACAGGACCCAAATACTCATGGCTTTCGGAAGGTTAACATTCGATCTTTCACCTGGTGCGAGTCTTTGAAGCCTTCAACGCCTACTGCGGGCTCTTCCTTTTTACATTCGCACGAAAGCCGCTGGGGGATTCCACTGCTCACGGTGGTGAATGACTTCAATGAGGTCATGCTGGTGCAGGTCCGCAGATCAGACCCAACGAACAGCCCTTCCAAGCCTTATGATCTTCAAATTCTGGCACTTCACTCTCTAAAGAAGCTGGAAACAAAGAGCAGTCTGGTCTGCTCTGGATCACTATTCGAGAAGGCACTCCGAGAGAATCAACGTACTACTGAGCTTTCCTGTGGTCCGTGGCAGATTTCACCCGCGACGAGCCCAGGCAACTTTGGCTGCGCAGTCGCCATGATAGCTGCGGTATGTGGAACTCAGCTTCGGCTAATGAAACTCGAAGTCACTATCGGAAGCTCTCTTGGAGAGACCTCACAACAGTACATGTTAGCCACAGATCTGGTCGAGCATCCTTTGGACCAGATGAATGAGAAATGGGCATATCACAACATCGCTGGCCCTCTTAGGTGGCTCCATACTGTACGGTCAATCTCTTACATCTATCCTGAAATGTGTCGTTTTGCTAATAAAAACCTAACAGAAATCGTCAACAACCATTGCTCTGGCGGTGGGCGCCATGGCAGGTTTCATAGCCATATCCATGCCCTACGCTGCATACACGGGTAGCGTTACCAATCCAGATGCCTTTAGATTCCATGATTTCCCGATCTATGAGCCAGAAACCGAGGATGACAAGGGCCGCCAAGTAAGGCACCTGGAGCCGATTGCTGGTATGTTATACAATATCTATCTTGCCCTTTCGGCACCGCTGACCTGCTCTAGCAATGCTCACTTCCACGAATCAAGAAAGCGACACATGCAATCTCCACCTAGGCACGCTCGGTGGAATTGGCTTAATTACAGAACTTCGCCAACTCGAAAGCGGCAATACTCTACAACAGCCAAAATGGAAACGCATGATTGAAGAATTCCAGGATGATTATGACTTAGAGCACGACTTGGGGGGAATGTCAGTCTCGAGGATCTGGGGACTCGCAAGCCATCGCAACATAACTGCAGCTATCTTCAGTTCACATCCCACAGACATGATCGAGTATCGCATCACCTCTGACGACAGGTCTATGATTGTTTTTTCAGAGGAGGGTGAACCCACCAGAAACGCCCAAGCCCCATTTGCGGCGCACATTCCCGACGGTCAAACCACCGACCACGACCAGACAGGGGAAGTGATACGTTTCGTGCTACCTGGTGACGATGGCAATATTGAACCAGACACGGAGAGCCAACGCCTGATCTATGCCGTTGCGTGTCGTGCCATTGTGGACGAGGAGGACAAGTCACTTCGACTTCACGCTCGGCGGTCCCTGGAGCGTCTAGCAGTAGTAACGGGCGCGGATTTGAGCGATGAGATTTCCAAATGCAACGGCAATCCCGCCCCGATATCTGCGAAGACAATGGATCAACTCAATGGCCTAGGCGGCCACATCTACGAGAAGTGTGAAGTTTGCGATTCGGCAATTGGGTGGCCGAAGGCCCAGTCAGCCCAGTGCGCCAATGGCCATGTTTGGGGTAAGTTACCTTATGGTTTGAACTTGTTGGTCCAAAGATGTTAACCTTTTCCATTATATAGAACGATGTGGACTGTCCTTCCTTGCCATTCAAGAACCTGGCATATCCAAGTATTGTTTTGTCTGTCGCAAAGAAGCCCTCGATGAAGAACGCGTGGCATGCGTGCGTGGGGGGAAACAAGGTCGAACATTCGATGCTCTCTTTGAGACCTTTGATACCTGCTTGCAATGCGCAGCCAAATTCCAGGCCAGTTACTAGGTGTCCTCAAATAGGATTTGCAATGATGGCAGAATGTCTCATTGGTGGTCAGCGGCTGCAAAAAGGACGGGATGTTGGGTAGGTAGCCTGAAAATGTAACACGATAATGTCATAATGATTCCAACGAATAATCATATTCATGTCTTCACAGCTAGCTATGTCAACCCAATAAGGGACCCCACAATAGGATTCCATTCGTCGTCCCATCGCCGAGAGCTTTCTTTTTGGGCGCCTAGGCGAAGACTCTCTAATTTGCCGTTCTCACCGAACAGGTCGACCAAGTGCTCAGCCAACTCCTCCGAGCTCCCAAAGCCCAGCCCATTGACGCCCTCGGTGACCAACTCGGGCCATGCTTCGAAACGATCCCATCCCACAACAGGAAGACCAGCCCCGAACATATCTACAACCTTCATAGGGAGATCTACCCCACTGCTGCTAGTATGCAGACTGACCCCTAGAGATGCGGATGCCAACAGCTGAGCATAATCTGGTACACTCAACCACGCAGTTCGAATTGTGACCTTCTGTAGCTTGCTTGTCTTTTCAAGAGCTGCAATCTGTTCCAAATACATTTCTTTTTGTGGGCCCTTCCCTGTTATGATGGCCAGAACCTCAGGGAGGTGAGGCTGTGTTGTAGTGGCCAATTCAGAGTACCGAAGAAGGGCACCGATGAGGACTGAAAAATCCTCATCCGCAGTCCATGAGGTTGAACTGACCAGAACCCGGAGAGACCCTGCTTTCAAAGAAGAATGAAATTCTTTAGTTTCCGGTAGAGTCATGAGGAACTCCGTCCGTGCATTTGGATCGAGGATAGGATTGAAGTGACTGGCAGGGCGGTCGTGCAGTGGCAGAACAGGGGCTTGAAGATCGAAATCTTTCTTGAGAACGGATTTCATAGCATCTGTCACGCACAAATGAGCCGTGGCAGATTTGCAGAATACCTTCTCATACCATATCGACATTTTCACCAATGGATGGCTCTGGCCGAGTTTCAACGCGAGTATGGAATATCCAAAATTATGCCAATCAATGATAAGCCTTGTTTGCCGCAAGAAGCAGACAATAGATGCTATAGCCAGTGTAGGAATGGAAGGCGGGTTCTTTTTATGCCCGCAAGGGCGAGTCAGCACTTCAAATGATAACTGAGGAATCTCTTTTTCACAAACATACCTGAACCAAAAGCCATTGGGACGGTTTTGTGGTATATGCAAGACACTTCCAGAGACAAGCAATCTGGAACAACACCTTCAACGGCCCGTAAATTGTAAATAGCAGCTTGTTACTAGTCTGTAGGAGAGCGGGATGCGGGCGAAGCGGAACAATCGAGATGTTGGGGTTAGATATGATATCAGGATGAGGATCGGATTCTATTCATAAATATTAGTTGGAAATTTTATTTTGCAGTCTTTATGAAGAAATTCGTACTAACCATTATACCCAATAAGTACCACTTCCCCGCCATGTTTCGCAATGCTCAATGCATGGTACTGCATGCGCGGGCTTCGGCCAATGTCGCCGAGAACAAGGATTTGAACACATGTCTTGCACCTTTTTGTGTCATTTGATCTTGGAGGAGATCCTGCTTGTTCTGGCTGATATTGCGAAGGGAGTAACAGGATCAACACAGTGAGGGCGCTAGACAGGACGAACACTATGCTGATAATGGTCTCGATCATGATGGTAATAGCACTTCAAGTATGTCGCTCATGGCATTGACCAGTTTTCAATCACATCAATGGCCCATAGAGAGCTAAACTACAGGTCAAGTAGTTCAAAGTAGAATATCAACAGTTCAATGTTTTGAAAGCGCGACATCTGATACGTAATATCTGATAAGACTTCACGTGATTCCCCTTACGAGAACCTTGGGGAAGATGGGCTTTTCCCCGACAGTGGCAATCCCTTTGTGAGCCTGTACTGGCGCTAACTTCTATATTACTTTCCTTTATTATCCTATTCCGCAATGCTGTATCTCCTGACAACCTGCCCGCTAATCTGAGCCCTCGCCCTCGTCCGCTCCACCCTCCCCGATATCTTGGCAGTACCCCATCTCCTATCCTGTTTGCTGGACCTTCCAGCTGCTGCACATCGTCAGCATCTGAAGACCATGTCGACGGGGGCACCGTCACTGAGCGTGGATCTCACACCACCCTCCATTGGACACAATCATAATCATGGTCACAGTCGCAGTCATGGCCACTCTCGATCCAACCGCTGGGCGCAACCTCCGCCTCCCCTCTCACAGCCAGCAGGTGCCAGCCTTCATGAACACCCGGAGCCAATCAATGCGGTGAAGTCGAGTTATTCATACGGACATACACATCAACCATCGGGCCACGGTCACACACACTCGCACTCCAGTGCGCACCACAATCATAATCATAGTGTGTCATCTATTCACCACAATGTGCTAGATGATCACCATTTGAAAGGCTCCAATGGTGTTCATGGAATGTTATCTACGGATAACACCATACAGACAGGCTATAGCTCAGAGAATGTGTATGTTGGCTAGAATGTGATTTACAAGTAAAGGCTGACCCTAATCACAGCCAAGAACTTTTGACTAGCGCACTCATCGTGTTGCCGTGGGTTGCGCTTTCTTGGTACCAGAAACAGTGCGCCCAAAGCAAAAAGCTATCCGGCGAAGGTATACCTGGTACCATAGCGAACATTCCTATCGGACAAGTTGGTCCAAAGACCTGCCTTTTGACAGCGATCACCCTCGTCCTCTTCGGCTGTGGGCAAATACTACGGATCAACCACCAGAAGGCTGGCTCATCCATCCTCTCGTCTGTTAACTTGCCGAAACTGAATGTGAAGAGCGTCCAAGCCTCACTTTCACAAATTGTCTCAGTGGCACTGCCAATATTTGCATCACTCAAGATTGGAGGCTTTTTGGTTGCACTTACACTACTCCTTGCGGCAGCGTCAGGGGTCCCTACCATCATCAACGGAGTCTCGCGCACCCAAGAGAAATACAGTCGAAAGATTCTATCCATTGCTCTGCTAGCGGTGATCATTGTATCGAGTTATCTTGGACTGAACCATCCTTGGGATGTATCTCCATTCATTGGATATGCTGCTTTATTAGGATCTGTGCTCATTGCCCCTCCCCCATTTCCCTCCCTCCGTCACAATGGACCTATTCCTGAGCCAGGCATTGTTGCTGCACATAGCAAGACTTCACACCCGAGCCACTCTGTTGTGGTCACAAGCGATGCGCCACTGGCTATTATAGGCGGATCCTCTCTTGCACTTCTGACCATACTTCTCAGCCGAGGATTTGTCTTCGGCGTCTGGGATTTGATATATCTCTCTATCCCCACGGGTATTCTTGCCATGTCTCTCATGATTTCCCTGCCCCCAAGCCTCCGTTCTCCCAAAAAGACCGGACTGGCCATTTGCGCCGGAGCTGCCGCTTTGCTTTGTGCCCCACATGCCCAGGATGACTTGCTCATGGTTTATGCCACACGTGGTATATTGGCTGCGGCCTCTTTCTTCGCCTCTCGAAGGGATGACATTCATTTGCAGCTGGATGCACATGCGCATATCCACACGCATGGCCATTCACATTCACACACAACCTCGGAATCCTCCCGAGTATCAAAGTGGCTTCTCCGTAAAAGTGAAGCTTATCCGTTGCTGCACAGCATTCTCAAGGAGAAGGATTCTCGTAGCATCTTCTACTTCATGTGGTGAGTTATCAAATCTGGAAGCTGTCACTCTTGGATTACTGCTAACACCTCATAGCCTGAACTTTACTTTTATGCTTGTTCAATTATCATACGGATTCCTAACTGGATCACTGGGACTGCTTAGTGACAGTATTCACATGTTTTTCGATTGTTTTGCGCTTGTTGTTGGCTTATGTGCCGCTGTCATGAGCAAGTGGCCCCCGAACGCTCGGTTTCCCTACGGCTATGGCAAAGTTGATACTTTGTCGGGATTTGCCAATGGGATTTTCCTCATGTGAGTGTTGTAAAAGCGGTGGCCAAGGGCGAACTCTAACATCATACAGGATTATCAGCTTGGAGATCGTTTATGAAGCGGTGGAACGGCTCTCATCGGGAAGTGAGGTGCATCGTCTAGGTGAGCTATTGATTGTTAGCATTGCTGGCCTCGCAGTCAACTTGGTCGGAATCTTCAGCTTCGAGCACGGCCATGCTCATCACGGCCATGACCACGATCATTCTCATGGCAATGAGAACATGCACGGCATCTTCTTGCACATTCTTGCCGATACGCTTGGTTCAGTGGCAGTCGTCATTTCAACCATTCTCGTGCATTACTCCGGTTGGGCCGGCTACGACCCGTTGGCATCATGCTTCATCGCCATATTGATTTTCGCCTCAGCCGTTCCTTTAGTTAGCAGCACGGCCAAGTCACTGCTACTCACTCTGCCAGCGGACACCGAATATAATGTCCGGGAAACCCTAGCGGGAGTCAGCACTTTGAGAGGCGTGGTTAGTTATACGGTGCCTAAATTCTGGCTTGATGATACAGGAACAGTATCTTCCGGGCATAGCCATTCCCACGACCATTCCAGCCATGGGGATTGTGACCATGATCATGATCATAGCCACAGCCAACACAATCATGGTCATGATCATGATCATAAGCAGCACCACGACCACGGCCACGATCATAGCCATGATCACGGTCACGATCACGATCACGATCACGATCATGCGCATGAGAAAAAGCCCCAGAATATTTTCGGGGTCATTCACGTCATCGCTTCTCGGGGTGCAGATTTGGAAGACGTACGTCAACGGACCGTCGACTTCCTTCGTGAGAAAAGCATGGATATTCTTGTCCAGGTTGAGCGGGACGGAGATGCGCGCTGCTGGTGTGGCGGTGGAAGCAAGGGCTTTTGATTGGTGACAAACATGTTCCACCTATCATCGACTGCTCTCGAAAGGGAGCCAGGATTTACTGTGCGTTTACTATCGTTTTGCCCCGGTCGGTGTCTATATCTCTTTTGTACAGATAGGATTGGATCGGTTCGCCGAAGAATTATACCAATCAACAGCACATAGTTTCCTCCACGGGCTTCATCAGAAGTGGAAGGCATATATTTCAATGATTCAATTACGAAACCTAATTTTTGATCGCATCACATGTAGCCGAAATCGATCTTGGAATCATTCAAGGGTAAGACTTGTACGACCCGTTCATCCACTATGGACTGCCCTGAACGGATATGCCTACCCCGAGCCCTGCATTTCAGACAAATGGAGTGCAGCTCTGTCTGTGTCCCTTGGGCTAGATCTCTAGGAATTGCGACACGATGTTCCTTCGGGTCATACAATCACATTGAACCTCGGTAGCACTTGGCGCGAAAGTCCACGTCTACCTATTGTGTTATTCTGCGAAACCCTCGTTCTATGTCCCGGGAGGTTGTCAGCCTCGTCGGCCAAACCGGGGCCACTGGTCAACTTGTTGAGCTGCAGCTCCCGAAAAATAACCTCCAGCATCTAAGACTGTACAAATGTCAGAGTGGCATTGAGTCCTGTCCTACCAACCACTCGACTTCCAAGCTTGAACAAAAGATGCTCCGGCATTCTATATACCTTCCGACATTATCGCAACCGTAGCTAATCCTTTGTGTCATTCTTCTACAGATCCGTCTGTAGAGATATTAGCTACACTACATATCCGAATCTCTTGCCCAGCTAATTCAATGCCATCCGCTTCGACTGCAAATATACAATATGCCGACGAAGTCGTGCGAGGAGGATATGGAAAGATATTCGAGGGCCATACAGTCTTCCTCACTGGAGGTACTGGGTGCTTAGGAGGTTGTCTCCTGTACAAGCTAGCTTTACAACTGCCAACTCGAAAAATTTTCGCCCTGGTTCGAGGGAACTCCCAGCGGGCTATTGGAAAATTGAGAAAATCGATGCCAAATCATGCGGAGGCAATTTTAGCCACAAAGAAAGTCGAATTTGTGATTGGCGATATGAAATTAGTGAACTTTGACATTGAACCTGATGTCCTTGGCCAACTTCAAGATCAAGTGACGCTGGCTATTCATGCAGCAGCCAAGATCAAGCTTGAAGGTCCCATTCGCGATGCACTGGAAAGCAACTGCCTCCCTGTGCTGGAAATGGCACGGATTGCCTCTGAATTCCGGCGACTGAAACTCTTTATCCAAATCTCTACATCATACGTCAATAGTCATCTTCCCGATGGCCCAGTTCTGGAGCGGATATATCAATTGGGAGGCGAAGAAGATCCAGAGGTTGAGCTGGCATCCATATTGACGCTTGGCACATCACCACACGCGGGCAAATTCTCGTCGACCTACACCCAAGCCAAGCATCTCATGGAACGTCTACTACTCAGCCGCTTCCCTCTTCTTCCAATTCTACTGCTGCGGCCAACAATCTTCGGTCCTGCGTTTAGACACCCCTACCCGCTATACGGATCGGAGGACTCCACGCCTCTCACCAAGTTTACTAGGCTCTGGTTCTCCGATCGGGGTACCACACAAGTTTGGCATGCCACCGAAGGCTATAAAACAGGTACCAATATCCTGGATGAGATCCCCGTGGACCTTGTAGCAAATGCATGTTTATTGCACGCAGCAGCACGGACTACGGGCATTGTCCAGGTTGGTTCACAGCTCTATCACCCTATTACTTTTGATGAGGTCTTCCGACTGGGCTTTGAGAATGCCACGCCTGCAGTCCAGCGAGAGTTCCCGAAGATCATATTCACTCAAGACCGCACTACACGGCAGTGCTTACTTGCTGAGTTGATTCAAGTAGGAACTCGTAACTGGTTGTTCGATTGCGGGCGGTCTTACTGGCTCAAGCAAGTGAGTGGGCCATTGAGCATGCAGGTGTGCAAGCATGAGGCAGATGCTCTAAATTTGGTACGGACTCACGACGTCCTCGGGACTGGAAAGGAGAAAGCTCGGATTTGAAAAGCCGTAGGGAGGCTGGAAGCTGGATTCTAGCTATAGTATACATGTATATGAAGTTTTTCAGGTTCATGTCTGTTCCAATGCATAGTATTTACAAATTGTTTTGAAATAGCACTATTTCTACAACTGGGTAGATTAAATCTGACCGCAGCTTTCAGCTCTCCAATGCCATCCCAAACACCCAGCCAAACCTAAAGACTATCGGCCTGCTTCAACTAGCGATCTTGGTGGCTAAAGCTGCCAGAGACTCAACAGCCAACAGCTCAAAGATACGCACGACTTTCTCCATCTCGTCGTGTAAAATAGAATAGTGTCTATTGGGCAAATATAAACAAATAAGTTTGGGGACAATCACCTATTTGACTGCTTCAGTCCTAGTGTAGGTAACAAGCTGTGTAGTTGAGATAAAGCTCGATGTACTTGCAATGGTCATGGGCGATCTTTAGTAAGTACCTGGCAGGCCCGGAATGCCATCCCGAGATCAAGCTACAGCACCAGCTAATCAACTGTATGTTGCATTTTTTTTTCTTAGCTGAGATGTGAAATGAGCTACAGGAAGACTAGAATCTGGTTATAGTATGAAGTTGATTAAATTCATTGTGAGCTGCTCCAATGCCTAGTATTTACAAGCTCAAGCGAACGCGGCTTTTCCTGAAGCAAGGGGTGCGATTGACAGATCAAAGTAGATTTCGGGAAGATCTCGGGGCTTGCGGTGGCCCGAGATTCAATGGCGATCTTGCTATGTAGATCTTTTAGGGGTATTCCAGCTCTCTTGTGATTGTAATCCACGCATTATACATGCAACAGTGCTTTTGTTATTCGGGTCCATAAGCCATCCGAGTCACACAACCTCTAATTATCTCAGAAGTTCAGTATCTTGCATGCTTTCTCGTGATGACTGCGAACTATTCGTCAATCTTGGGAGATCAATTGCCGTTTTTAGGGTTGGACGGGCCAGCTCCAGCTCCACCAAGACAGTTCACTCTATACTATTGAAGCCTCCGTCTCGAATATCTGTGCTCGCTGCCGATCATGATAGTTTTGGTTTATATTTTCTTTTATTGGGGGAAATTATTAGCAATTTTTCAATACATACGGAGTATAACTGCCCACGGCCTCCCCGGTCTTATATCTATAAAAATTCTTCAACCTAGCAACCTTCATTCTTTTCTTCACACCCAATTCAAAATATCATAATGCAGTGCAAGCTCGCCTCTGCTTCTCTTCTCCTGGCTAGCATGGCCTCAGCCACTCTTTCCTCCTCTCCCTCCCCAACATCCGCTTCCCTCTCCCCGACCTTCACTTCTATGGCTTCCACAAGTGTCATTGCCTCCTCCGTCTCCGCACCTATTGCTTCCAATACCCCCGGCGCAGTAAACCCCGAGGACTACGACTGTGTTTACCGTGGCTGGGGCTGCGACTGGAGGAAATCGGAGTACGGCTACGGCTCCGACTACTGCGGTCTTTCTCCCTTTGAGGCCGGCCAGCAGCTGAGCAGTAGCAAGGTCGTGGCTGTCTCCAAGGACGGCTCTGGTGACTGCGCTTCCAAGGCTGGTAGCAAGTGTTGCCAGGTCCTAGCAAAAGAACCATGCAGGCGTGGCGAAAAGTACCTTGAGTGCAAGAGGCCTGAATAGGTATGTGTAACGTTCAACGAGGCTGAATTAATTGCTGATGAATCTATAGATTGTGCGAGTTGACACTCCATGAGTCAGACGTTCGATAAAAGCCGTTCGGCATGTACAATATAAACCGAGGCTACTGGTGTATACAGATGTCTGATTGGTTCAGCCTATTTGTATAACGAGTATTGGTTGCCTGGGGATGTAAGAGGATAATAGGACAGAATTTATTAATATTAATCTATGGGGCGGATTTGTGCACAGATTTTCCTTTCCCTTTTGTTTCTTTCTTTTTACTTTGCTATGGAGACTGGCGCCTTTGAATTATACTGCATTGTGAAAGAATTAGGGCAATACATGGTGGGTGGTGGAAGCCATACTTTGTGACTTTTAAGGAATCCTATGCAGATCTTGGCTATTTGAGCTCCAGGTGCATTATTGGTCATGTTCTGGTTCTCTGATCAGAGCCCCATCGTTTTTCGGGGCCAAGCCAGAGCGTTAGCCCATTCCATGTCTCCAGGGTGCAGGGCATCCAATAATTCAGAGACCAATGCCCGACCTGAGCCCCGAGCCCACCAATGCAGACCATCAAGCTCCCCGAGCAACACACCCCAATGCATGAGGATCAACAATGCCAAAGGCAGTCGGCGACGCACATTGTCCACGAATTCCTTGTCGATCATAGCGAGCCAAGCCAGGACATTTGCAGCGTCAACAGAGTTGGAAACTCTGGTTGAGAAGTGCCGCAGGTAGACTATAGCATCTTTGTTGACCCGATGCTGATCGGGGTCGATACTGGCGAGGGTCTCGTCATTCAAAGTACCGAGTCGCTCAAGAGCATCCCGCGTGTCATTATCTAGACTGAGGGGTCCAGATTCCCAATAATTTCTTCGACGGGAAAAGAGCTCTAATTTGATCCAAGATTCACCAATCCGGTGGATTTTTTTCACGCCTTGCAAAAGCTCGAACACGACGACGATATTTTCCGTTATGCTTGAATTTTCTCCGCGGGCAGCAGTGACTCTTGGCAGAGCAATGCCTATAACAGTGGTGACAATGGACTGCGCCAGCGCAGCCTCGCAGTTCATTGGGTTTATATGGTCGACAGCTGCGCGATATGGCGCAAATGTGAGATTATGATATTGGAGGGCAACGTCAATATACACCAGCGATGCCGGTGGCTCGATTGTGGCGGCGATATGAAGAGCCCCCAGGGCCAAAATTCCATTCATTAAAAAATCATACTGAAGAGCCAGGCGAGGAATGGCAATTTGCCAGACATAATGCTCCGATTCGGAAGAGCAAAGACTCTTGAAAGTTTCAGTAGAAAACTTATGCATAAGTTCCAGATCTCGCATCCCTGAAATAGTTGAAGAAGCGGAAGCCGCTAGGCTAGGGAACCTCGGCCGCAGGGGAGTTGGGTCTATAATAGCCAACGGGGCCGGGGTATGGCTTTCTCCTGAATCGGACCGAGGGGGCGCTCTCAAGTATGTGCATGAGAGTTCCCGCGAGATACAATTGGAGCATGGTGGCCCCTTTTCGTCACACTGCGTCCCGTTAGTCTCGTCATTCGATGGAGCCCGTAATCTATGGAGCCACCCTGAGCGGGAACTAACCTTAACGCGACGTCTCTTGCACTGGTCGCAGCCTTGGCGTGATTTTGTATGCGCTCGGCGAGGAGGCATCTCGGTACCTGAGGGTCCATATAACCGGTTGGCTCGGATCCTTCGAGATGTGGAAGAGTCCAAGCGCGGGGGAGAGAAGAGGATATTGCGGACGGTCACGTGGATTGGAACTATAAAAAGACTATTCACGACTCTCGTTTTCTCTCTGCTGGATTTTGTCTTTTTACTTTTTATGCCTTCTGCTTATTTGTTGCATTGTTCTCATTTGATATGCCATGACCCTTAAGCCACGGTCGCTTCACCCGTCAGCCAATGTACAGTTAGGCATCAGCCTTGGATGATCACATGTCTCTATGAAACTATGAACTCAATCCCGATCAACATTATCTAGATTCTATAGATTGTAGAAGGAAAAAAAGGCTCACGGACCAAAAAGATACCGAAGGACAAGATCTCGGACCAAAAGCAACAATTCTCCGACAGGATCAAAGCGTCTGATAGTAAACAAGTGGATCCCGATATAAGCGACGTGGAGATGACGAGAACGAAAACGAAAACGAACGAGAACGACGGCAAAGAATAGCCAATAGGAATGCATTTTAAGTCTGTTTCATCCTGTTTATCCAATTTAGGGCTCCACCTGCTAGAACAGTTGTTGCTGCGGTCTCTTGGCGCTGCCCGAGAGTTGATAATTTTGTGATTTGATATCAAAATTCTCATTCCCCAGGTGTAAGACTCTAGACCCTTTTTTTTCTCTTGGTGCTATCTCACTCCTGGGACCCGCACCTCTCTCATCCAGCTCTCTTTTTCATTTCCCTTCCTCTACTCCATCTCTCTTTCCTTTTGATTACACATCCCTCTCACCCAACATGGCGAGCTACGCTACTTGCTCAGAAGTAAGCCTACTCTGTCCCGTCGAAAGTACAACATACGGATATTACCCCAGTTTCGGCGGAAATATCTTCTTTACGGCTTTCTTCGCCCTGCTCGGATTATGCCAAGCCGGTCTCGGTGTCTACTACCGAACATGGACATTCCTGATCGCTCTCCTCATCGGCACATTGATGGAAATGGCCGGCTACATTGGTCGAGTGCTCATGCATGATAACCCATGGTCCGGACCCGCCTTCAAGCTTCAGATCGTGTGTCTGGTTCTTGCGCCGACTTTCGTCGCGGCAGGTGTCTACCTGACATTGAAGCATATCATTCTGAGCCTTGGACCCGAACACTCAATCTTAAAACCGCGTCTTTTCACCTGGATTTTCATCGGATGCGACATTGGATCCCTCCTTTTGCAGGCTGCGGGAGGTGGTGTCGCTGCGGCTGCTGGGAAAAACGACTTGAAAATGCTCACAGCAGGCGACAACATCATCATCGCCGGTATCGCCTTCCAGGTTGCGACTATGGTTGTGTGTGCATTCTTTGCTGTTATCTTCTTCTGGAGGGTCTACAAGAGTGGTGATGGGTTTTCGGGGGAGAAGAACCTCGATACTGGTGCTTCGCCAATTGTTCCCAAGTGGATGCCGTTCATCGTGGGCGCCGAGGTCTTTGCCTATCTCACAGTTTTGATTCGATGCATTTATCGGTAAAAGACTATGTTCGAGTCCAAACAGTGCACTTTACTGACCGCGATATCTAGTCTCCCGGAGATGGCTGGTGGCTGGGGAAACCCACTGATGCAGAAGGAGAATGAGTTCCTTGTCTTGGATGGAATGTAAGTGGTCCCTTGGTTTCTTTGAAAGCTCTGGGAGAGTACTAGCTGACGTGTCATTAGGATGATTGCTCTGGCCTGTCTGGCCTTCACTATCTTCCACCCCGGAGTCTTCCTCCCATCATTGCGCTTCGCGCCCAAGAACCGCACATAATCGTTTTCTTGTCTGTTGCTTTGGGGTTTGGCGTTCTTTTAGATCCTTTCTTCCCAGCATGTTTGCCTATACCAGAGATGATAGGTTCTGCTTAATCAGGGGACCATGTCCATTAGGCAATCTCTCATAATGAACACTTAGAGAATAATTACCTCTCTACATGTGTGCTGAGATTACATCAAATATTCTGGAGCTCGTTCGGAAATAGATTTGTTCCCAAACTAGTAAAACAAAGATGTCAGGATGAAACTCCAGCCCTCATGAACATCGCAGAAAATGCACCGCAAAGGAACCAGAGATCAAGAGCATGGCAAAGCATTGCTCGCTCTGTGTAATAAAGAGAACCACCGCTCAACGCGGTAGATTGAAGAAAGAAAAAAAAGAACCCCGGCAACACCATGTTAAACCAGATCATAACCCGCCATCTTAGATTGCCGTGAATAATTAAATCGTGCACTAGTCGTCCAACGTTTGACGGACACACCGGCGGACGCGCTTCTTAAACTCCGCAGGGTCATCACGCCATAGACGAGCAGCCTCCACATTCGCTGGGCTTTCATCGTTCGGGCTGGAAAGCATAGAGATGACGGACAGTAGGATCGTCTCGGGGGTTTGCACGGGAGACCAGCGTTCGGCAGCCGACTCGTAACCGTATTTGTCCTCCTCGGGTGGGTGCAGAATGGAAATGCAGACATTGCCGTTCTCATAAACTATCAGAGCGCAGTCACATGTGAGTAAATTGTCTCTGATAAGTAATTCAACCGGAACTACATACTATTTGGGTGGAAGATGGGAGATTCAAACTTCATCTTTGGTGGCCGGTGGGGGTATTCTGTTGGGAAAGAGAGACGAGCCCGGAAGAAACCACCTATGCAAGCAAACTTGTTAGTATTCTTTGACGTTCAACACACTGGCGGCAAGAAAGCATATGTATATCCCCAGGTGAAGTTGTATTTGCCTCAACACTAGCCTAGGAATTCGGTTTCAAATTCAGATATAACAGAATCATGACATACCTCCATACAGCTTCACATCATCTGATATCATGAGCATAACCTCCCATTCGAAAATGTCGTTATCGACCAAGCCGCAGCTAATTCCGGGAATGTCCTTATCAGACTGCATCTGCTGCAGTTGGCGGGACAGCATGCGCCCGGCGGGAGAAGTCGCCATGCTGATAATGGGGGAGGTTAGAAATCAGAAGGTGGAAATGTGAAATCTGATCGATATCGGAAGCCGATTTCAATGTCGAAACGAGGACAAAGAGAACAAGGTGAGGAGAAGATGAGGGGCGCAAAAAGAAATGAAGGCGGTAAAGCTAAAGCGGGGTTTAAATGACCTAGATGGGGAGGCGGTATACACCATGGGCACGTAATCAGCTACTATACGGACCTGATTTGAGGACAGGAATATAGGTTCAAAGACTACATATATATTGTATGGAGCAAACATTTCAATCCAGTGATATAGATATAGCGAAGGCCTCAATTACACAAACATTCCACATTCTTCACGATTTACCACTTAAGATTCATCAAATCTCAGTGGATTTTTACTCCGAACTCAGTTGGATACGAGGAGCACCCGAGTCAACGGGTGCGGCAGTCTTGAAAATCAAAATGATCTGAGCACCAAATACGAGAGTGGCGAAGATACCAAGCGCCAGCTGCATGGCGAATGTCTTACCAATAACCTTGGCGAAGCGGACACGGGCAGCCCAGTCAAAGGTAGTCCATGCATCCATAAGGCCAATCTTACCACTGCCACCGGTGATGGCTGGGCTGACTTTGCCGCCGAAAGAGCGATCAAATGGCACAATGGTCTCATCCTCCTCGGGAAGCATGGAGGCAGCCACACGGACGAAGATGACACGAGCAGGCATGGAGATCAGGAATGCCAGAATAGCAGGAATCACGCTGACGCCCAGGAAACGGTACATAGCCACCATAGAGGGGGTGTCCTGGTCATCGGTAACATCGAGCCAGCCAGCAAAATTGGCAATGGCCATAGGGATGAAGAAACCAGCAGCAGTCAGAACATCCTGGAGAGCAGCGGCGGGGGCGATCTTAATCCAGGTCTTGTAGCTGGGGATACGCTGGTAGAAGCGCTTTGGGGAGGGCTCGGAGATGACAATGTGCACCCAGGCCATCTGCCAAGTAGCCAGAACAACGCTGATGACAGACTGGACGACAAACTGGAGCATATATGGAGAGACAGGGAAGAAAGATGAGAGGAATCCCCGGGCCACGTTGTAGGCCATGAACATGCCCAGTCCACGGAAGCGAGACCAATAGCCAGCACGGGAGCGCAGGTGCTTTACGGTCGTGCGCAGCTTGCTGGTGATGGGCTTGAGGGGAGTAGGAGCAACCAGCTCAGGATCTTCCTGGTCATTGGTTGGCTTGATGGGATCGGAGGTAATGCGCACGTAGATATCGGGGTTGGTATCTTCAACTGCGGCCAGGGTGGAGATCACCATTCCGTAGGTATACTCAATCTGTCGGGTGTTAGTTCCATGAGATTACATCTGGAAAATCATATTACTTACAGCCCAGAAAGCGATACCGAACAAGGTAGCAGTGATGACAAACATAGCGACCAAGCCTGGATTAGCCTGCTGCTCAGGCTTGTCCGAGGACTGCATGTGAGTGACAGCAAGCTCGGTGCCCCGACGCATAAGGACATTAGTGACAGACATGATGAATCCGACACCGATGAATGTATATATTCGATGAAAATTCGATGGAAAAGCTTCCAAAGTTGGAAAAGTAAGAATGAGATAGAGGGGGAAGATGGGGCTTTTATTTGATACAAAGGCAGGCAGCAGGCCACTAGCGCCGGAGTCGGCGGGTACACTTGCAGTACTTAATGTTTGCTAGTGCTCCACCTACAGTTCGAGGTACCCGCCATGTACCTTTGGTCAGCCTCACTCCAGTGGTAGTTGGAATTCGAAACCTTTCCTCTCTACTCTGTACTGAAATAGCCATACATTTATTTACTATTTACGCCTCAAAATTTACAAAATCAAAGTGTATAAAAATAGAACCCCCTTAGACCATCGGCGTCCAATCTCTCCGTGCCGGCCAGGAATGGCCCCCGATCAGCAATGGCCCCCGACATGTTAGCGCCAAGTCCAGGCTGTAGAGCCGCTCATAGGCGGGGCTCTCCGAACAACCCTTGCCACTTGCTCCTTGAACCCCATTCAGATATAGCGCATATCGCGAGTGGAATTTTTTCCTGTTGAGCCTCAATTGTTTCAGGCAAAGTGGGTATGTTGCCTAGATCCATCGGTTTCTACGAATTATATTGGCTGATAAAGTTTGCCCAAAACTTGTCCGGAGTACATATTCTAGATCTAATGTGACATAGCTAATCAAATAAAAAAAGGACCTTCTATAGAATATCGGAAATCAACCAAAGATCTATAAAGACATAAGAGCTGATCAAAAAGATGCGAACCAATCAAGGCCAAAATCATGGTCACAGACAACCATCCGTAGATGGAACACAAAACGCTGCAAAAAGAGATCAATCAAGGTATGTACACACACAAGCATTCTCATGAACTTTAGTCAAAGAGCTTCTTCATGCCCTTGTGTGCCAGTTCAACACCGAGGAAAGTGGCGGCATTAGCAGGCACGGCACGAGCGAGAGCCGGTCCGAATCCAGGGAAGAAGGCCTTGAAACCACCGCTAGCGTAGACGGAGCGGATAACGCCACCCACGGTAGGCTTGCCCGGTGCGCTCTGCAAGCGGGACTTGATGGTGTCAATGGGGAAGACGGGAATCCACATGGCAATACCGGCAGCACCACCAGCACACACAACGGCGGATAGGGAGAGCTCGCCGGTCACATTGCCTTCGGCATCCTTGGGAGTCAAGGTGCGCTTGATGTACTCGTAAGCTGCGAAGTAGGCGGCCGAACCGGGACCATCACGCGCCAATGTCATGCCGCTACCACGGAACACGCTGCGAACACCACCTTCCTTGTACAGCTGGCGCACAACATCCATACCACCGGAGTACTTGGGCTTCTCACCCGGGGCCAGGTTCTTCTGGCCCTGGATCTGGAGGAGGACCTTGACACGCTCGAAGGGTGCCGTGATCAGGGTCATGGGGATGGCGGAGAAGAAACCCGCAGAAGAGATCTGTGCAATGGAGTACTGCGGGGTGTTGTTCTTAACGGGGACAGTGGAGAACTTGTTCACGAGAGTTTTGCCCACGTCGTAACCCTAATGTATTGTTAGTATCACTTCCAACCGGGCGCTCGCAGCTAGCGCTGGGTTCCAAAAGAACCAAAAAAAAAACGTACCCAGAAGCTGACAGCAACTGTAAGACAAGACTTGTTAGCTCATAGTTCGACCAATTGCTGATGTGAAGCCATTAAAGCTGATGCTGGAGAACTTACACATGGGAGTAACTCCAACAAGCGGGGCGGAGACACCGGCATACAATCCCTACGAAACCAATGTTAGTTCGGTCGCAAAACATTCAATGTGTTTGTGATGATCATACTCGAGCCAAACCTTCACGAGCAACTGTCCTCCTGACCACATCCATGGCACCTGAGTAAATGCCCTTCTCGGCCGTCTGCAAGCGCACCTTCACCAGATCAAACGGGTGTCCGACGACCACAGCGCAGAGACCACCAGCAGCACCAGCTGCGAGGGAGCGCAGCTGTACAATGGTCTGGTTGACGGCCTTGGCCTCGACGACCTTGATCTCATCTTTCAGCTCCTGCGAGGGGGAGGTAGAGGTAGACATGGTGGGCGGGTCGGAGCGGGGAAGAGATAGGGATGGAGATGGAGGAAGAGGAAGAGAAGAAGAAAGAGAAGACAAAGGAGCCAAGAGTAAGATTTAAAAAAGTAATTAATAGTGCAATAAGAAAAAAATATCCGAAGATCTCGCGACGATGGAGACAACCCGACACACCGAAGCCGACTGGTCTTCCCCGGATCAAAGTGTACCTCGGCTCGGTAGCGGAAAAACCGACTTCCCGTGGTAGATAGCTCGGAGAGAAGCCGGAAGTCTACAGCACTGTATGTTGTAGCACAAAATGTACAGTTTGGAATGACTTGGTAATTTTCCTCTAGGAATTGGGTTTGTCTTCTCTTTTTATTATGTCGGTAATCTCCGAGTGTGTCAAGTCCGGGTGAACGGGGGAGAGCTCAACCACGCCACATTTCCCCGGAATAAAGGATGGCCGTATTAGGGCTAGGTTCTATCACATCTCTCTAAAGCCCTTCCTAAATTGTATAGATGCAGGGAGATATGAGGTGCCTACTCCGTACATTCGTGGCACATGTGTCAGTTGGAAACACTAGTGGACCCTATATAGTACACCGGTCGCAATAATCACATGGAAATCCACGTGCTCATCAGTGGGACACTTCATGGATACAATCAAAGTTATTTAACATCCATGCATAGTACATCGATGTAGTTATATTGTAGTCAGGTCTATAACTACATTAACTATAAGTCTTTAGACTCAGATAATTTAGGCAGAGAGAATCTGATGTACTGTTCAACCCTTACTTGGTTGGTATGCATACTCTAAGCCAGTGAAAATAGATGCCATAATATAGATTTCATTCATTAAGCTCAATTGACATTAAATAACAGCTCCGCAGAGCAAAGAGAAGACAAAACATGATGTGTTCCATCATGAACCCGTTCCATATTGTACCTATACAAGCCAGACAACGGCGACACCTAATTCATAACCCATGAATTACCATGGAGAGACATGAGAGTGGACTCTACGCCTTCACATGTAGGAAATTTACAGAGCGAGGATAGCGAGCATACCGAGGACACCCATAGCACCACTGCCAACAGTGGCCATGGGGGCAGCGGCACCCTCGCTGGAGGTAGGAGCAGCAGAGCCGGAAGCGGAGCTGGAACCGTTGCTGTCGGAGTCAGAGTCAGAGCCAGACTTGGAGCCAGAGCCGGAGCCGTTGGTGTCAGAGTCGGAGTCAGAGTCGGAGTCGGAGCCGGAGACAGCGGAGGTGGTGGTGGTAGTGGCAGTGCCGTTGGCACCGGTGCTAGTGCTGGTCTTGGTGACCATGGAGGAGCCGGAGCCGGAAGCGCCAGAGCCCTATAGATATGGTCAGTATGATTCAAGGGAAGAAGAAGAGGAATGGTATCTTACAGTAGCGGAGCCAGTCTTGGTAGCGGAGCCAGAGCCAGTAGCAGTGGCGTCGGAACCAGTGGCAGTCTTGGAGCCAGAGGCACCAGTGGAGGTAGCGGAGTCAGAGCCAGTGGTGGTGACATCGGAACCAGCACCGGAGCCAGAGCTGGTGGAGCTGGAGTCAGAGCCGGAGGCAGAGCTGGACTTGGAGTCGGTGGCGTCAGAGCCAGAAACACCACCTGTGATATAATATTAGTTTACTAGATCAGGTATCAGAATTGATTAAAAGTTGCTTACCAGGGCACTTAGCGACGGCCATAGCGAGAACCTTCTCGGCGTCATCGCTGGGGCAGGCCTCCTTAGTGCAGTCACGGATACCGAACTTGTAGTTATCGGACTTGCACAGGCAGGCGAGGTCACCAGCCTTGCAGCCCAAGTCGGCGGCCTGCTTGCTCATGTTGGAGAGACACATGGACTGTAGACGCAATAGGATTAGCATTGAGCTTGATTTAATATACTAGAGTGAATCGAGTTACTCACAGCACACTCAGAGGCAGAAACATCAGCGGCGACAACGCCAAGGGCGGCCATCAAGGCGAAAGCGACGGGGGTGAAGGACTTCATGATGAGGAAAAGAGATGAGGATTAGGTGAGGACTAGGTAGGTAATTATGAAGATGAATTTTTTAGGCAAAGTGGAAACTGGAAGAAATCCTGGGATGGGGGCAGTCTTTTTATACAGAAAGGCCTGAGAAAGAAAAAAACAAACTCTGCATCAAAAAAAAAAAACACCAGCCACCTGCCCCAGACTACAAATTGAGACTCCATATTGGACAAAAAGGGACAATTAGTGGACGAAGCTGGTACAGCCCAATCATCATGTAGGATCAGCTATGTGGGTTACCTCACAGGGCCATGCAGTTGAGATTGTTATGGTACCCAGCCAACGTGGCTATGAGAGAGAGACCCTATTGCCTGACCTCGTATGAAGTCATCAGCCAGGCAAATCTTGGATCTGCCCTCTGTAATGGGGATGGATCGCCCCGGAGATAGCTCGCACCCCTTCTCCATTGTCGATCTCATAGGTTCATCCAATCGCTAGGGGGCCCCATCGGAATTGATTTTTCGAGTGATAAAATTGGAGAGCTCTAATTTTGCCGACGAGGTACGGAGTACTCCGTAAATAGGCATTATTGGGTACGGAATATAACCAAGGTTCACAATGGTTCGTCCATTTTCTCGGATGTGAATGTAGAAGAGATCGTGTATCCATTATTCGATCCAAATCTGCCCAGGTGGGTTAAGTCGGAGGAACCCGATCGCACTATTGAAAAGAAAAACTCAGTTGGGACACCGCTGTTTGTGGCTGACCACAGCCACACACATCATTGAGGCTGGTATATTGTTTCTCGATTATTAAGACTGTTTTTATTCTTCGGGTTCTGTCAAGGGATGTCCCCTGCGTATGTTGTAGAAGGGGAGATTTGAGATTCAAATTATTAGTGGATTTGACTTGCTTCTCCCCTTTTTTGCTTTTGTTTTGCTTTTGTTTTGCTTTTTGTTTTGCCTTTTTCTTTTCATTTTTCTTATTAAAATCTTTCGCAGATCGAATTCAAACATCCACATTGGATGTGATATGCCTCGGACTCCACATAAAGATAACATAAATCAAATTATAATATACGGACTATGGACTATGGACAATAAACAATATATGGAGCTATGTTATACGGAGTACTCCGTTCCAGATATTAAATGCTGATATATCCCTGGATAAAAATCCCCCTCCAAAGTTTTATACCTTGACCTCATCACGTGAACTGACCATGGCAATCTATATTATTCCCTAATTGCATATCTTGTTATTTTGATATGGTCTAGGATTACACGCCAAGGAAGTTGGGCATCCTCCATATGTGTCTAGCAAATGCAGCTGTACGGAGTACAGAGTACTCCGTCCTCACCGGCATGTTCCCGCTGTTGTCTCAGCCTGCAATTGAAGCTCATATTCATGCAGACGTCAACGCCACTTTAAGGACTGTTGACCTGGGAACCTGCATGGTCTCACCTTTGGTCCCTGGGCATTTTCAGGCACCGCTATCCCTGACTTCCTATGCTCTCAAGCCTCAGGTTTTGTCGGTCTAGCAATCCACCATGTCAACAGCGGTGGTCTGTTGCCTCTACTCTATAGGGCCCTGAGATATAATTAGGATCACACATCCAAAATACACTAGTACTACTAGTAGTGATATTGACGTTACATTGAGGACAGCGCTACTGCCTAGACGCTTATCTGGACTTCCCCGCCTTCAAAACTCCAACTTCCGCCCTTCAAACCTCCAGGGCGATCTAGATATTTTCAATTATCATATTGCAAACCGAGTTCCGTTTATAAGAATGGTTCTCAGAAATACAAACTCACCATTGACCTCGGAGTTCGATGCCTTGGTACAGCAACAGATGGACCAATGGAAAGTCCCAGGACTATCCATAGCAGTGGTTCATGGCTCCAGTACCTGGTCAAAAGTATGGAGATAATAACCCAATTGATGAGTACAGATCACTAAACTAAATTTCAGGCGTATGGATTGTCCGAGTTTCCTGATCGCAAAATGACCACCGATTCTCTTTTCTCTACTTGTAGCACCACAAAAGCATTCACTGCAGCGGCCATGTCTCTTGCCATTGACGATAGCAAGAATACGGAAACCCCCCTTCGCTGGGACACACCAATTGCCTCCATACTGAGAGATGATTTTGTGCTGGAAAACGACTATAGCACAATGCATACTACCATAGAAGATGCTCTATCGCACCGCTCAGGGTTACCAACCCACGACGCTTGTTTAAATCTAGTGCATCCCCAAAGATCGCTACGCGAAGCAGTTCGCAACTTACGATATCTTCCTATGGCCTATGCTCCCCGCACTACCTTCTCTTACAACAACAACATGTATATGGCGGTATCGCATGCATTGGAACAAATCGAAGGCAAGGCTCTCGGCGAGACTCTCAAGAGACGCATTTGGGATCCATTAGAGATGAACGATACATATTTTTCCGTGATAGAAGTCTCGCGGGACCCATCTCTTAGTCCTCGACTCGCGCGGGGCTACACCTGGGACCCAGATACAAACACCTACGTCGCAGAACCATACATGAACGATGTCGCCGTGACTGGAGCCGGCGCCATGGTGAGCAGCGTACTCGAGTACACCAAGTGGCTACGCGCGATGATCTACCAAAAGGGTCCGATCTCACCACAGGGCCACGCAGAAATCTTGAAACCACGCACGGTGATCTCCAATTCGGAAGAGCTAGTCGGACCCCCGGCCTGCCCGAACCATCTCTATGCCCTGGGATGGTTTGTAGATAGTTACCGCGGCGAGCCATTGTACTGGCACAGCGGGAGCTGGCCGGGATTCGGCATCATGGTAGGCTTTCTACCGAGCAAGGGCTTCGGCTTTGCCATGATGGGTAACACGACCAATGCCCGACATGCGCAAGTTGAGATCTACATGCACCTTCTAGATCAGAATTTCGGTGGATCAGGGATCCCGCCCTCAGTGGGCCAGGCGGCTGAACCAGAAAACAAAAAGATCAAAGCAAAGTCCGAGTGTATGAAAGAAGCCATCAAAAGGCTTTATCCCTCTCTCCCTGATCCTGTTATTTCCCATTCGCTACCACTCAACCAGTATGTGGGGACATACGAGCACCCTGCGTACAGTTCTATCACTCTATCTCTCCAAAATGGATGTTTGGTTGCAGATCTACTAGACCTTGCTATACCTTCCCTTATCACTCTCGCACATGCAAGCGGGGAGTTCTTTGTGGCGCATTACTACCAACCCAAAGAAATTGGATCGCTCTCTGGTTACTATGCAACGGAATTCATAGTGGGTTCTAATGGGATTGCCACCGCGATGGGTATGGATGTGGAGCCCGCTTTGAATGGAGAGAAGATGTGGTTCGATCGCAAGTCCTGATGACTTGTGATTCTCAGTTGTGTATAAAGTACGATATATATTCTAGATCTGAAGCCATGACCCAAATCGATAAAAGTTTTACAGCAAAATCAATGTCTTTACAAAATTGGCCACCCCACATAAATTGAAGCTTATTATTATAAAGTGAGACAGACATCCATCCACGGCAATTCGAAAAGCACAGCCCTGGCGACAGCCGGAGACCCTCGGCGATGCCGGACCCGACCTCGGGCTGGGTCCGCTTCCGGTGGAGTCAAACAAAAATTTCTTCTGGTAAAGAATAACAAAAAGCAAAAAGATAGTGACCGACGCAGGGATCGAACCTGCAATCTCTTGATTCGTAGTCAAGCGCCTTGCCATTGGGCCAGCCGGCCGTGCTATTGAGAGATTTGGCCAAAATGTGCATTATATTTGAAAGGTTAACATTGGGTATGTAGATAATACTCATTTCCAGACATGTACTCTAATAGAGTCATAGATACAGATCAGATCAGTAATAAGAGATAGGATGGAAAGAAAAGGAAAAAACAGTGGTATGGGGGTATGTTGATGCAAAAAACGCCGTAAAAGAAGCCGAAAATTATGTGCCGCCGATATATATCGCCCAGACCGAGTCATACATTCAACTCGGAAGCGTCCGTCATGTAAACATGCGATATCATGGGGGACTTTTCAGAAACCGTGCCTTCTTCTAATAACATAATTCGTGACCTGCGGCCCAGTAGTTTTCGCCATTCAACGCCCGCTCCCAAGGCTATCAGCAGGTGTCCTGCGAGGAACCCAACCAAGCAAGTCATCACCCCGATGACAATACCCAGAAAAGCGAGGACGATGTAGCAGACGATGCGCATAAAGGGGCTGATGGGCTCCGGGTTGCCGTAGGGACGACCGTATTCAAGGCGGTGGTTGAGGACAGCTGGAGTGGACCAGACTGGCAAGAATTGAGTCTTAGACCCAGAGCTGGTTACAACCTCACTGCTGACAATTTTGCTATTATCGCGCAGCGCGGAAGGTTTTGTAACCAGGGCTGAATTGGGTGCTGGCGCCTTGTTCTCGATTTTGTTGAAAATGTTACCGAATTGTGATATCCAGTACTTCATCACCCACGCCTGACTCTTCTGGGAGAAATGATCGTCTTGATTGCCGGTGCGAGCTGGTTCGATACGGAAACGGGCCATTTCGTAATTACCATCCTGGCAGACGTGAAGGTGGATGGCTACTGCGTGCGGTGATATCAGGTTGCCCTGCAGATCGAGAAACTCGACTCGAACGAGGGTCATATCTGCTATGGTTCCCATTTCGTTTTTGTGGATTGTTTGGGTTTCGAGCGAGTAGGCTAATTTCACGATCTTGCCGTTGTGTATATTTTGGCTTGCGCCTTCGTAGAGGGGCGCCTGGAGCTGCATTGTCGCTGATGGAGGATAGACTTGGTGTTTATTCGCGTATAGGCCTCCATTTTGAATGGAAAAATTCATAGCCTGTACTATATTAGTATAGGCAATGAATTGATAGAATATCACTCACAAGTTTCCATGTGACGCCGAATTCAAGGTCATCAGGAGAAGGAACGTAAGGAAGTCGAAGTTGACGAGAATTGGAGTGCGGGATAAGAGAGGCAAGGGCACTGCCCATGCAGAGGATGGCACACAGCAGCTTCATGGTGTGGAATCTGGGATATTATGGAGCAGGTACCTATGAAGTCAAGGCAGGAATATGTCGAAAACGAAACAGAAGAGAGTGAAGCAAAGGACGAACCCTTGGCGAAGAGAGAAGAAAATAAGAGAAGAAACGTATAGGGAAGAAACGGGTATATAAGGTCATCTAAGTAGATTACCAGGCTTCAGCAAGCCTTAGATCTTTATATCGTGCGTTAGATATGAGAAAATGTAGCTACTAGAAAGGGGAATTGCCGATAAAGCCTAGCGGCGTTGGCTTATGCCCCCATCTGGGCATGTTTTAGTTCTTTGGGGGCTATTATTAGCCCTTTGTCTTCAAGACCTTCTTTTTTTCCCCTGCATACAGAGCCTCGATGGTTTCATATGTACTTGAACCTATTTTTTCCCTTTCAGTCTTAACCGAACTCGTGAATGTGTAAATCATGGATCCGATTTCTTTATATCCGTTACCAGTCCCCTACTATAGACTAGCCTTTCATAGTGACATTAACACGCTAACGGCCTTTGTTCTAGCGTGAAAGATCGACGCTACTTTTTGACCAATCCGAGGTTTCTCAGCCAATCTAATCTATCCTAATGGGGTCTCTGGGGCTATAGATTGACATTATTCAAGATGTTCGAGTGCCGAACCCTAATGCGGCAATTGGTCAAGCGATCAACAATTGCACACACATGTTATCGTCCCATAATGAAGTATTAGCCGATGAGTGATAAACTTAAATAAAGTCTAAGAGCTTCAAACCCCTGGAGGGAGTTCTGGGGCTTCTTTGGAGAATTCTTGGCAAAGTAAAAGCTCCAGCTCTTCCGCCTAGTTTATCGTGCAATTGCGTTTTCTCTCAATAGGAACGCACCTGCCCGATATCTAATGCTTCACAGCGGATGCCAAGTATTGGGGTAGTCAGGATGTGAAAGCGCGCTGGGAAGTCCCTTCTAATGTTAGATTCAAACAAAGCAAAGAAGCCAATTTGGAGTTGCAGGGCATTCTTTAATCAAAAGTAAAGCAAAGACGCGAATAGAAATCGAAACCAGCTGAGTTCAAGGCTAACCCTTGATAATAAAACTGGACCCTTATTGTAGCTGTAATTACATCTCATATTTGACTGCACAACCTTGGGTGTGGCGGCTGGATCTACAGGTTTGATGTCTGTCTGATCCTAAGCGCTAGACGTTTATCGTGATGATAACAGGCTTTATTGGTATGGGGATAATTACGAGTATTTTGATATCGTGAAGCTTGATCACTCCTCTCTCTTGGATTCACAGTTGACCAATATGTATCCTCCGATCTACGCATTCTACAGGGGTGGTGCCAAGCCAAGCCCTCCGCCGAAATCCACCTTCTGCCAAGCCCGGGAACTGCCTATTCAGGAAGTGTAAATAACCTCAGAATCGCGACTTATTGTTGTTGTCAAACCTGCCGAGGGAGGTAGGCATAGTTTTTCACCTGACTCCAACGTTGATGAGTTAGCCTTCCCAATCTATTGCTTACGTAGAGTTTGTACGGAGTTTGTATACGAAGGATATCTTTTTATTCCCAATTAATTGTCTCGCGAAGTCAAATACTTTAAATCCACCCTGACGTTCCACAAATTGACCTCGCCTATTTGCTAAACACTATATGTCCATCGTGTCTATAAGACAATACAGAACTCAGGTCGGTTTATAATAGGGCGCAGTCTGCCAGAACTGACAGCGTGGGTTATTAGTCGGGTCCTGCATCGGCTGGATGGTATGATTTCCAATGTTGACGAGCTGTGCATGCTTGCCATGCTTTCTGAAGGCCGGTGCCAGATGGGATTTTGGCGCGCCATGCTGGACAAAGCTAGTGAAATAGTCCTGCATAGCCAACGCCACGGTCGCATTGGCGACGTCCGAACTTGTCCTATTGTTGTAGAAAGTGTAGGAGACATCCTGTCCATGGAGCGCAGGTGGAATGCTGAACTCATACGCATAAGTCTCATTGTAGAAAGCACGGTTGAGATAGTCCGTATTGCACTGGAATATGAGATCCGAGATGGCGAGCGCCGTGCGCGCGATCGAGTCGGTGTATCCATAGGAGCCGTTGTAGACTGGTGGATAGAGGACATCCAAGATAAAGTCGGACACGTTTGCTGGGATATTCGGTGATAAGGACTTCATTTGAATTCCCAACCCGGTGCTATTGACGCTGTCTGGTGAAGTAAAGACCAAGCCTTCGTTCGCGTTATGGCCGACCATGATGTTCAGGTTGTGATCGAAGTCGCCTCGAAGCAAAAGCTGCCCTGGCAGAGCAGGCACGAAGCTGCCGTCCACAGCGGGACCGTAGGTGAACTGTCCCCACTGGGACTTGGTCGCAACCTGGTACGCATTGGCGGCGATCAATTTGTGGGATGGTAATTTCCGGGCTTGCTGAATCGTGCTGACGTTGAGAATCCCCAAGAACTGCTGCAGAGTGTCTTCTTGTTCCTCTTCGCCAATGATCGGGACCCAGCCTGGGCTCTGTAAGATCGCTTGTTTGAAGGGTGAAGCACCCCGTGTGCCTCCATAGGCGGTGATCTGATGAAGAATTGATCCGGCTCCAGCAGATTCGCCCATAACTGTGACTCGGGTTGCATCTCCACCGAAAAGATGAATGTTCTTATATACCCAGTCAAGAGCAAACCGTTGATCGTGGAGTGCTGCGTTGGCAGTGCCATTGGCAGTGATACTGTCACCACCTAGCCAGCCAAATGCACCCAACTTTCAGAGAAATTAGTATTTTCACGCCATCGACCTAGGAATATCGCTTGACTTACTCGATAATTCAAAGCAACGTAGACAATGCCATCATTGTTTCCCAGCATGCTTCGCTCGATCAACCCAGTTGGGTCTGAGCTGCCCTTTTCTCCTCCCACATACCCTCCGCCATAGATCCACACCAGCACCGGCGCCAAGTTCTTTCGAGATGTTGCGCCTTTCCCTTTCGTGCATTCGAATACCTTTTTGGGGACAACGACGTCAAGGAATAGACAGTCCTCAGTGGTGCGTGGGTCTTGCTTCGCCGGCTCGTACTTGTAGGAAGAGATATTGGTGGATGTAGAGAAGGACTGGTTATAGAAATAGCTCAAGAGGAAGGCTGGCTGGCCCTTTGTCGACCACAATGGGGCTGCCTGTGGACATATCCTGCCCACAGAGCCATTCTGGATGTGCTCTCTATTTTGTTTTGGAAGTACGGGTGCCTGGAATCGCAGGTCGCCAACTGGAGGTGCCGCGTAGCGGATATTGGTGAAATTATAGAGGCCATGAGAGCTCTATTTTGAATGTCAGAGATAATAAAAGTCAAACTAAAGAGGACTCATCGGACATTGAATGAAATCGCTTGGTGTCGCTCATATCCCAGATCAACCACAGGTAGTTTGGCGGCCAGACATACTGAAGCCAGCGTCAGCAGCAACACATTGACCATCATGACCCCAGAAAAGCAGAATAAGAACGCGGGGAAAGAGAGAACTCCTAGAGCTTTGGGGCTTATATTAATACTAGCCAGGAACCCCAAAGTCAGGCCATGTTATGAACTATAATCTATGCATTTCATCCGTAGTTCCCGGAGAGTGGAGTATATGATGATCCAACAGAGAACAAGATCGAGATGAACTGTACTTCTCTACCAATCATCGTAATCTAAGCTTAGCCATGTTGGAAAACACAGTCAGCGGTCAGTTCGTTTTTGCGACCCAAAATGCGCAATGATGTCAAAGCGAGACATTACTCTGGGGCTCGGCGATGACACACCAATAAGAGATGACATTCCCCGGAATCCGGATTCGAATCCACCAACGCTATACCAAGTCTGGGGCTGAGCTCCGGTAAAAAGTACGGAGGGAATTGTTGGCGAGCACAGACTCTGCGGGGTACATCGGCTTGCACCGAGGCTGCAACATAACGCCTGTCAGACGGAGACTCCGAAACTTGGAATATGTTGTATACGATTATTGCCGGAAGCGGCACTTGAACTCATTTACTACACAGTGGCATAGATCCCTCAATCATCGACCTCGCGAATCTTATAGTCGAACATCTGGTTAGAAGGCACTTCATGCTCATTCTGGAGTTTCGCGGCACTCTCAGCACCCGCTGCCGGCACACGGTACTCGAATCGTTTGCCCTGAGCTGGCACAGTCCCGTCGGGTAGTGTGTATGGGAAAGGCAGATATTCGGGCAACAAACCCAACTGCACAAGTACTGTTGCTTGGTCCCATGCAATGTGCTCATGAAACAAGCGATCTCCCCGAATGTTGACTACAGACGTGAATGGAACGCGAACGTGCTTGCCTGTAGGAGGGATACCCGGGATCCTAAAGCGGGTGAAGATGTCAGTTAATTGTTCGATTCAACCACGGGAACTGAATAACCCACAGCCAATCCATCTGTTTCACATGAGTGAAGACAAATATAAACTCGTCCACAATTCGGTCGGTGCCGACTGTCCGACTAATAAGCTCTAAGGCTGTATCGTCGGGGTTGTTGAAGATGAAGTGATTGAGGTAAAAATGGCTTAAACGAGCTCGTCCAATGCCTCCTGTTAAGGTTGGCACATGGTTCACGTAAGGCTCTGCAACCATCGTCGCCATTGTCTTTTCGACCGAGCGTGCTTCAAATTCATAATAGGTGTGCTCGTCCCAGATCTTCTCAAGGTCAAAGAATGGGCCACCCATGTGCTTCTTAACAAATCCGACACTGCGAGTATGGGCTACTCCTGCGGTCGATATCTTGAAATCCGGGTGGCCTGGGATCATAAAGCCGGGGGAGGATACGTCGGAGTATACGTGGGTAGTTTGTCCTTCCTTCTTCTCGTTCTCCAATGGACTAGGCAGCTGGAGAAGGGTTGACTGTAAGAAGGGCATATCCCAGGAGTCGAAGAAGACCGCGGCGACCATAGCTGTATCTTGAACTAATGCACCTTGCAGACTGTCTTCGAATTGGGGAGCATAGTCTTTCTTCGAGCCATAAACTAATTGAAGTCAGTAGGGACTGGCGGAAGAGCCAGATTGATACTTCCGTACCTATTAATCCAACCTTTTCCTTCGTATCGCACTCCAGCCTCTCAGTTAAGCCACGCTCAGCTTCTTGAATGAGCTTGCGTAGAGATGATCTGTCAATGGCAGATTTCTCATCCACAGTGACCTGTGCCACTGTAAAGCTTTCCTCGGCCCATTTTTTGAGGGGCTCCGGATCAAGCGTCTTGTTTTGCTGCTGGCATGTTGCGTAACAAAGAGGTCGGATGAGAATCAGTCCTGGGCCGTGTCCACATCGAGAAAGAGGAGGTTGAATGGTCACATATGGACTCAGTTCCACTTGAGCGAAAGGCGAACTTAAATCGGACATCTTCAACCGAATAGCAGTTGGAAGTTGAGTAAATACGGGAGTTTCCAAGTGGCCGGGGCGATCGTTATATACCCGGGGCTTCTCTCACCCCCACTTTGGACCTGGGTAGTAAGGAGAAGGACAAAATGTAGTTGTGCAACGGATATAACTCAGAAAACGAGAAAATCCCAGAAGTTCCTGTAATTATTGCAATTATCGCATTGATTGTATTCACTTCAGATGTTACCATACACGTGACCTGTCATCGGAGCTCGGCCCGTTCATTTCCACGCGCAAGCTCTCTCCCAAGAGCACAACCCAACAATGAACTCACTTGTCCAGTCTGCCCTGACTGATGTCGAATCTAAACTCAATGCTCTTCTGACCAGCCTCACAACATCTCCCACAGCTGCAGGCGCCCCCGCCGCAGCTGTCGCCCTGCTCGACGCGGACGATGTGCTAACCTCCGCCATTGAAACCCTTCGACAGCACCAAGAAAACCACGCAAAGATCCTTCGACTCCGAGACGAGGCACAACAACTGGAGGACCGAGTCAAGGGCATCGTGGGCGAGATTGAAGGGTTCGAGAAAGAGATCCGCACAGCTTGTGGAGACAACGGCGACAGCGACAGCGATTTCGATTCCGACTCCGATGACGACCTTGGGGGAAAGAAATCATTGCTACGGGGAATCAAAGAGATTGACTACAGGTTACTCTTGGATTTCGCACGTCGCATCAGCAAATACAATCACGAAGCAGCAGCCGATGCCGCAACAGGCGTCGTGAAACGACAAGAACAAGGAAATGTCCTTGCTGATAGAGATGTGGCGATGACGGGAATGAATGGAGACCAAGCAACAGAGGAAGGCGCAGAGCCAGTGGCATCTGTCACCAAAAACGCGACGCAGTGGTTGGACGAGTCCGCAAATGTAACGCGCCAGGTCTACATGATGCCCTACCCGATGGAAGAACGGATACGGATGGGACTGATGGGTCAAGTTCAGCTTGCTGCTGGCGATGATCCCGACAAGGAGGTGGAACGGTTATTGCGCGAAGCTGAGGGTCTTGGAGCCGCAGAACCGCCAGCACCAGCCGAACCAGTGGAAAGCACGAAGCAGGCGGACGAGGCTTCGAAGGCTGCAGCTCATGCTGGATCATCGGCCGCTGGAATGCCGCGGGCGCATGCACCAGCACCAGCACCAGCACCAGCACCGAAACCCAAGGCGATGCTGGACCTTGATCTCTACGACCCCGACGAAGATGACGATTGAGTGTTTTTCAAGCGGGCGTTGCATTCGATTTTCATAATGATACCAGCTACAACAGCACAAAAAGCCATTCAAGATAAATTTTTTTCTTTCAACCATGTCTCATTTCACATTTCATATCTCGGAACATTTAATCCAGCTATTACATCTTATGGACCGAAGACTTGGCCGTCCATCCCCGGAACCTCTTGCCATAAAAGTAGAAGGGGATGGCGCAGAAACACCACAATGCTGCCAATGACATGTTCAGCATGATCGGCTTGACAAACCCACTCTCTTCCACCCATTCGGTGATGAATCTGCTGAAGCCATAACCCCAGAGGTTCTTATTGACAGTGATAGCCACGAAAATCGAGCCCGCGACAGGCTTGTAGCTGTCAACTGCATATGTGCTGGTAATAGCCGGAAGGGCTGCAACCTGGATGCCTGCTGCAGTGTATCCAATGAAGACGATGATCTATGCATGGACCAATTAGTTGAAAACCCGCCAAGCAAAAGATGATTGCACTCACCTTCCAGTCCCACTTATACTCGTATCCAAATGCAACAATGAAATTGCCGATTATCGAGATGATGACATATGGAATCATTGCTGGCAGGCGCATTTCAGGTTCTCGAATACCGCGATTCTTCCGGGTAGCCTTCATGGAGATCCAATCCGAAAGAAGACCGTTGGTAGCCAAACCAATGAAACTCCCGACCAAAATAGCAAAGTTGAAGAAACCAATCGTTTGACTACCAAAGTTGTATGGGGGTTCTGCAAATGCTTGGCTCTGGGTGAGGTTGAGAGTGAGGAAACAACTAGCTGACCATGACACGACGAACGCGGCCAGCTCGACGATGGGGAAGGTCAACAGCTTCCATGGAATCCAGAAGCTGATAAGAAGGGTCTTGATGTTGTTTCCATCCAATTGCCAGAGCTTGAACTGTTGCTTTGATGGGGTTCCCTTGTGTAAATAAGGATCGCGCGCGCCAGTTTCCGCGTTCTCGTTCTCTTGCTTAGTGATATTGACTGCCTTCTCTGTCTCCGATCCATCGCTTGCCAACTCAGAAGGAGATTCCACCTGAGCAACTTCATCTGGATGCACGCGATGCCATTTGGTCTCGGGGAAAAGGAAGATCTGAAGCAGGAGCACCAATCCGAGGACGCCGACGTTTAGCCAGAAGAAGCTGCGCCAGCCACTGTGCTCGGCCATAGGACCTGCGATGATGGGACCAACCTGGACGATGTCAGTGACACCCAAAGCTTTGATCTGCCAAATAATTTACCATGAGAGCCCCAAAATAGGCAGTAAAGTACATTGTATTGTACGCACCGCGCTCATGTAGGAACATGATATCCGCGATGATCTCTGGTTGAGATGTCTAGAGGTGAACAGTCAGGTTTCATTCATTGGAAAGGGATTAAGACACCTACCTCTGCAGGACCAGAGCCAAATCCATTGAGCACACAAGCGCCCATATAGCTGCCATAACTGGTCGCCATTGCTCGCCAAATATTGCTGACCAGACAGATTAGCGTTGAGAAGATCAGGACCGGTCGTCGTCCATAGGACGTTTGAATGGGTATCCTAGATCAACCCAGTGTTAGCGAGGTTCATCAGACCATTGTATATGACCGATGCTCACCAGAAGAAATTGCTGAAACCCAGCACCAGAATGCAGACACCTGTGAACTGCACCACGGCGGCCAAATCGGAGTCAAATGCCTCCATCAACTGCGGGAACATAGGAGCCAATGCCAAAGGGCCCAGACCCTGACTGAAAGATGTCAAGGAGGAAATTGTCATGGCGCTCATTTTCCAAAATCGATTCCAGTTCTACAAACATGGTTATTGATCGTTCCGGTCAATTTTCTTGAAAGAGTTGCTTACCAGAGGATCATGAGGATTTTGCGATGGCTGAGGCACCAGCACCCGATTGGATTTGGAGGATGATTTCACAAAATGATGAGAGCCCACATCGGTCATGATCTCCGTTCCTGGGTAGATGACTGTTCCCAGTTCCTCCTCGATTCTAGGCAGATGGTCAGCAGGCACAGCCGTTACGGGGTGGACAATGCGACATACTGATGAAGAGTCTAAATGCGAGATCTATTAGCCAAAAGATGCAAAGAACAGCTTGGAAGAAAGACTCACCCCTTCATCATAGTTCATCTCCATCTTTTCGATTTACCCCGTTAAGATTGATTTGATACGAAATCACCAGGAGAATAGCTTTCGAATCTCAGAAAGTTGGCTAGTGTTACCCTCACCGCGTGGTCAGGTCGGGATCCCCCGTTAGTTATATTTTAAACATAAGATATACAGGAAATTAGACCCCTAGAGGGGCTGGACTCGGGAAAGCAAGGTGAATAACTACCGAAGCTAAATGTATTCTATCCCTGTCCATAAGCGTGGCGTATCTTGTCTTTTCAATCCAACCACTAGGACTCTAGTCAAAGTGTCTAGTTCAAGTGATGTACACCTGGATATACTCTGTCCATCTTAGCTCCAACTCTACGTGGGGACTTGATGAAATACTCCACAGAAATTCCCCGGATTCCCCGCAGACTCCAAACGCCTCACATTCTCATAGGTTAAATAGTTCTATATATTCTCTCAGAAGAGGCCTGTGTTAGTGTATTCGGTAAATCACCTAATCATATTATGCTGCGTTTGAGTACTTGCTTCCCCGCATATAGAGGGGACTGGTGAAAGGAGTAGATACCCTAATATCTTGGCATTTAAATGCCCAGCCCTGGGCATTTTCTTATTTGTTTCAAAGTCTAAACTAAGTGAGGGCGAAAAGAAAAGGGGCTTGGAGATGGACGTGCATATGTGCCTATACTTACCGGATTTTCCCTGGCATATTGCTGTCATAATCAAATGATGACATAGCGTAGTGTACAATCTTTGCTACAATAATCATGGAGTGATTGTCAAAGTCATAAATAGCGGCTCCGGGGGCGCGCGGCCTTCTGAGGTCGGGGACTTCATTCGTCCTAAGGCCAAAGCTAGGCATTAAGGTATCAACATAGGGTTTTGGCAGTTGGCGCCTATACCGCCGGGTAATCCGGTGCATATGCAGCCGATTCAACAAAGAAATACTGCTTACTAGTTGAAAATACAAGAGAATTTATATGCATTTGAAATAATTAGCTAACTGTAGAATAAAGTAGCATGCAGCTACACACTATGTAGTACGTAGTATCCATGGATGCGTGCCTGAGGCCTTGTTTCCCACCTTTTGGATATATCCCTCCTTCCTTCAATATTCCATAGTCATGCATGGACTTGATCCCGGCTTCGCCATCTTTCCCTCTTGTTACCCTTATTGGGAAGACTACCACGCCGGAGAATGTTCCGGACCATTTCACCCCTCGTCTTCGAAGCTCAAAATGTTCAAAAGGCTGGACCTGAGCACATCGCGTCGGATTATAGTTGCGGCCTGTCGCCGGGGTCTTATCCTTAATTCCCCATGGAGGGAAAAGTTTCAAGTCCAATGATGATCGATAGAGTCATGATCCCCGGATGTCATCTCCACACCAAAAAACACGCGAAGGAGCTTGGTAAAGCTTCTTTGAGCCAGACTGTATTGACAAACCCAACCAATCGGAAACACCGACACTTTATCTACAGAGTCGATGTAATCGAATCTCGGCAATTAGCTGAACAACCCCAAAAAGCATTTAATTAGGCTCCGGAGCCCCGGTTTATGCCTGATACCCAGAATGGCGGTTCTTCTCGTTCTGGGGGTCATTCTGCTGAGAGCTCTTGAATTATTTTTGTCGGATACTTCACTACAATGAGTCACCACGAAGATCCTTTCTCCAACCACACAGATGCAGACGGAGACGTGGAGAAGCAAGATAGTGATGGTGAAGTCCGCTCTCCTGGGGGCGCCCCCAGGCGCAACCGCCAAAAGAAAGAGGGTGCAGATGGAGCTGTCGATGGACAGGGAAGAGAGGAGTTGAAAGAATGGGATTGCTACGACAAGCTAGGATATTCCTTCCCCTGGTGGAAGAAATGGACTATCATCTCCGTCATCTTTGCTGTCCAAACATCCATGAACTTCAATGCCAGTTTTTACGCCAGCAGCATCACCCTATATTCTAAGCACTTCAGCATCTCAGAGCAGGCTGCGCGTGTTGGCCAGATGGGATTCCTCATTGCTTATGCCTTTGGCTGCGAGTTTTGGGCGCCCTTCAGTGAAGAGTTTGGTCGATGGCCAATAATGCAGCTCAGCTTGTTCTTCGTTAATATCTGGCAGATACCCTGTGCTCTGGCTCCTAACTTTGGTACCATTGTTATTTGCCGCATCCTCGGAGGTCTATCGTCCGCCGGTGGCTCCGTGACACTGGGTATGGTAGCAGACATGTGGGAGCCAGAGGACCAACAATACGCCGTGGCCTTCATTGTGCTATCATCCGTGGCAGGCTCGGTCATTGCCCCAGTCGTCGGAGGCTTTGTGGCGACCTTCCTTAGCTGGCGCTGGAATTTCTGGCTTCAGCTTATCCTCGGGGGCTTTGTGCAGATACTGCACTTCTTCATTCCGGAGACCAGGTGCAGCATCCTCATCACGAGAGAAGCCAGGCGAAGACGGAAAAGTGGGCAGACGGTATGGAGTGGCGACGAGCTGAAGAAAACTCGCATGTCTTTCCGCTGGGTGTTTATGGTTTGGGTACGACCGTTTATTATGTTCGTGCGCGAGCCGATAGTCTTGTGTCTCTCTCTACTCAGCGGCTTCAGTGATTCTCTCATCTTCACTTTCCTTCAATCCTATACCCCGGTATACAAGCAGTGGAAATTTACCACGATTACCACTGGACTTTCTTTCCTTCCGTGAGTGCGCAACCTTGAATTTAGGTTGGTTCTGATAATCTAATTTTGCAGACTTTTGGTGGGCTATTTCATTGCCTATTTCTCGTTCGTTCCATGGATTTATCGGCATTGCAAGATTAGACAGAGAGACCCAGATGCTCTTCAGCCGGAAGCCCGTCTTTATTGGTTGCTATGGGGTAAGCATTCTCAGATTTGGTTGGTTGGTCTCATTACTCACTCGCAACAGTGGCTCCTCTGTTGACAATTGGCCTATTTGGATTCGCGTGGACTAGTCTCGGTCCACCTCACGTCCATTGGATTGCGCCTATGATCTTCTCGGCCTTGATTGCGATTGCCAATGTAAGTCAATAATAAACCTGTACCTTGATATAAGACTGATAAGTCATTCTGTGATCAAGTACGCCATTTATATGGCTACAATTGACTACATGATTGCCGCGTATGGTCCATATGCTGCATCTGCCACAGGAGGAAATGGATTCGCGCGTGATTTCCTAGCCGGTATTGCAGCGATGTATTCAGTGCCCAGTAAGTGACCACAACCCTACAACGGGATATCCCCTGACCGTGAAATACAGTGTACACACACATGGGTACCAAACACCACCTTGAATGGCCTTCCACCTTCTTGGGCTTCATGGCAATCCTCTTCACCATTCCAATATACATATTCTATTGGAAAGGTCCTAGGATTCGGGAATTGTCACCATTCGCGCAGACCTTGGCTTCCGACAGAAAGAAGGCTAGCCGAAGGGTTTCTTCCTGTGGTTCCGGTGATCCAGACCCTGTTGAAAGGTATCTGTCTGAACGCTCCTCAAGCGAGACCAGAACCAGATCTGGTCTGCCACTTCCCTCGGAATAAATACCATCAAAACATGAAGATGGTTTATGTCTCTAGCTTCGCGGTGACTTGGATTGAGATTCGCATCAGAACGGTGGAAAGAAAGAGTATGCATTCATGATACAGGATATAAGAATCTGTTGCATTAAAAGCTGCTTTCTGTTTTATTGAGATATTCTTCGTGTTCATTTTATCTCTGTTTCTGTTAGATTGGCCTTCATCGCTGCTAGACTAGAAACAGTCTTCTATTTTAATTTGATATAGTGTTACAATGGACTTGCTTTCAAACCTTCAAACTTTTTGGACTCACACACACTTATGCGTGATGGAATAATGCCATCATCTCATCAAGTCATGTCATAGCCAACACGGAAATAATTCCCGATCAAGCACAGGCGGCGATATTCTCGGTATCCGATAAGTGTACTTTGCCGACAAGAGTGTTTGAAATTAAATATAGACATTTACACATATAGATACAGTATAGTTGATGCCCCCCAGCGTAGAAACATAAAACAAGTAAAATCATTGATTCCAAGATTCTTGGAGTTTCCGAATGGCATATTCAGTAGTCCAGCCCAAATCAGCTTCGACGCCCCGTAGCAGATCCACAATAATCTGATGCTCCTCCTCATTCTCAAGACACTGTCCGACAGCGACAAGAAGCGGGACCATGAATATGCGAACACCACCTTGAGGTCGGCCCAATGCAATGCCGCAGACTTCACGGGAACGGAACTCGACCTCTTTCGTGACCTCCCGGTACCCCTGTAAGCGGTCAAATGCTGTAGACGGTGCACTGATCACGTCAGCTGGACGATTGAGCAATAATGCGATACGCCCGAAATGGTAATGTTGCATGGTAGCAGCACAGGTTGTCAAGCTATGGAAGATTTCAGGGAATGGCAAGTAACTCCCTTCGGCGGCCTTTGATAGGTCCTTGGGGCGTTCGATCCGCACCGAAGAACGGAACGTTTCGGGTACATTTTCAAACCATGTTTGAAATTCGAAGGATAGTTTGAGCCAGGTATCTGTGTCCGGATATGGCAGTTGAGCGGTGCTTGGTGATGTGCCCTGGATTTCGGGTGAAGCTGCTGGTGGAGATCCTGTCCACTGCGCGAGCTGTAATTGTTTGGATCTTGCGAGGAAGTTGATGACTTTTGTGACAAGCCAGATCAAGCCATTAGCAGCCTGATCTTCCTGCGATAGAGGTGACCCATTCCGGATGAGATGGAAGGCCTTTTGATCATTAATTGAGATTCCTGCTGCCCGCCAGAGGGGCAGATTCTCTGGGTCGAAGTGTGTAGGTGAACGGGTGAAATAAGAACCGAGATAGTCTTGGCGAGCGAAATTCCAGAAGGCGGCTTGAATGCCATGAGAAAACAGGGCCGATTCGGCCGAATATAAGCTGAGAAGAGACTCAAACAAAGGACGAATGCGAGCAAGTTGCCTGGGTTTGAATGTTAGTAAGGACATAGCAACCACCAACGAGGATATCTTACATGTGCCACTCGTCCCCGGGCATGTCCAAAAGCCTGTACATGGTAAGAAGCGTAGCAGTTGCAAGCAGCTCCTCTGTTTTTCGAATGATCGCCACGTCGTTTGGATCTTCACTCGTGGGTTTCATGCTTGCTTGAATTTGACGAGAGTTGATCCATCGACTAACGATCTCAAATGGGGACTCCAAGATAGCTGAACTAGACACAGTGGTATAGCCATCGGATGTAATGTTATTCAAATCTGAGGCTGCCAGGTAATAGTAATTGGCAGCCTTAAGAAACCAGTCAACCTGAGTTGCATTTGGGTAGATTTCGGTAGTCGCAGGGCTCGTGAACATTCCACCCGTTGAAGCCTTGACCCCTTTCAAACGAGCTAGGTGTTTTGCTGCTAGCGCTGCAATGGCATACTTCACGGACAGATTGTTGATGGCTCGGATAGGAGCATGGACAGTGAAGAATTTCTGAGTATCCGACAAATCCAACCTAGTCACATTATCAATACGCTGTACATGCAAAAAGAAACGTCAGTTGTACGTACCATGGACCTATGATCTCCGAGTAATGTCGAGTAAGGAACGCGATCTCGTGTTCAGTTCCAGTCATGAGCTCCGAGAAGATATCTTGGAATTCATCTTTTTCACTTCGATGTGATGAGCTTTCGGATATAACCCGTTGATAATCGGGACTTTTTTGTGGAATTGCGTTGTAGGTGTTATCAAATGTTGGGAACCCTCCTGCGAGCCCAGTTGGTGAAATTGACTGGTAGATCGGGTTTCTTGTAGATCTGCTGCCTTCTTCGATTCCAGGGATGGAGTTGGAAATTGAGATGGCCGGACTTTCTGGAGCATGCATGGTTGTTTGCTGGGCACTCCCCATAGCAAGCTCTGGCCGGCTAGAAGGACCAGGCATCTCTACGATCATCGGGTCATCTCTCGAGTCTAACCTCGTCTCTCCCATTTGGAAATGAAGAGCTGGATTATCTTGCTCTTTAGGTTGATTCCATTGCAGAGTTTGCTCTTTGGGTTCTAGTTGCGAACTTTTTGACTGTGGGTCTGATATCAGCTCTGCGGGGACCTATCACAAAGCATGAGGGCGTGGGCAGAAAAATAATTGGTAGTTTGACCTACTTTGGGTGAATTGAATGCAGAGCCTGGCTTTGAATGATGCTCTTGATATGGAGCATAACGGCGCCTTACTGTGGCTCCTTGATCGATGAACTTGCGGGTTTGAACATACCCCGGGCATTCTACCCCCGCGGTAGTGCACCGCTGACAATGAGGGCGAGTCTCATCACACTGCTACAGGTTAGCGACAATCTGTAAATCCATGTTTAAATGAAGTGGAACTAACTTTTAGATGCCTCTTTTTGCAACGCTCGCAAGCCTTGTTAGACGGTACCCCAGGCATTGTGCGTTGCGTGCCAGTATCGCGATTTCCAGGGCTTAATGCTCGGATTTTGAGGTCATCTATGAGCCTCCGCTTTGCGTCTTTATAGCACACACAGCTACTTCACATTTCGAACATACATCAGACGAAGATGCAATTCGAGGTCAAGAAATCTAGAATGAATGATGCAAGATGCTTGGCTTCGAAGGTGTGATTACATAACACACCGGACATTTTTCGCCTGAAACTCGGAATTTGGTCACGTTTTTCCCTGTACATCCTGTCGTCATCTACTTCTCTTCTACAAAAAACCATACATCATGCTACGGAAACCGTCATTTTTCGTTGATAGCCAATGTGACACATCTTCTCCATTGATCAGGTCTATTGAAGACGATGTAGAACCGAGGAACTATCAAATACGTTGGGGCTCAATATCTTCAACACAGCCTGTTCTCTCAGGCCCAGAACAAATTCGCGTATATCACGAATGGATTGGTGTGCACTATATTCAATTCACTAGGGATATTTGCTAATTTATTATTGCAGATGCTGGGAAGCCTCACAATATAGTTTGTTGGGAGTGCCGTCTACCTGATAGTCTGATTGGTTGCCAGACATGCTGTAGATCCTATCATACAGCATGCCTATTGGACGTGGTCCGGTCTGCAGATAACTTCCATTGTCCATCTTGCCGGGCAAGAGCTTGGGATCATGCACCGCCCCAGTTCCCTGTGCCATCTCCAGCCCCAAGTACTGGTGGGACAACCCCAAAAGGCCATCCAGACCTGTCATTTGGAAATCTTCCAATCCATGGCGACAGATCAGCAACAGCATCACGGAGTAAATCCTCACTGGCCCCGCGGATGATGCTTCCCCCTAATTTGAACCGTATTGATGAAGTCGATGCTCGCGGCACGCCAGCTGAGTTATTTCCCGTTGCAGAGATGTACCCCCAGCTCCTGGAATATCTAGCGCTGCCGGATGCTGAGACAGATCACCATGCCCAACCGTCACAGTTCAAGCATCAACTGGGAGTGGCGATGAGAGAGATTGAATCAAATCGGGCATCGATGCGAGAGAAGGCAAGTATCCGAGAGGAGTGTTCGAAATTACAACGTGAAAACGCACAAATCAAAGCGTATCTTGATTCCAGGGCCTCACCACAAGATTCTGCCGCTCCTAGCCCTTCGACGGTTTCACACACCATCATCTCAAAACCAGCGTCTGAGCAAAGGGGGAAGGCTTGGGACAGCATTGCACTTGACATGTTTTGATTGTTTATGTCTGGCTGCACGAAGCATTCTGGACTCATAACCAACAAGGAAGGATAAGTGATCGATGAAGACTTGTAACCGCAAACATTGAATGTCTTGAGCTTTTAATTTACCCGACACGATCACTTTCGATGGCCTCGATGTCTGCCGAGCATAATTTCTCGGCATTCTAGATTCATATTGAAAATCCTGAATTTTGCCGACAACCCGACCGGCCGATCGCTATGTTGCTCATGTCACCTCTAGTCACCCTCTCCATGTGTTTACAAAACAGCGCGGAGAAGGTTACATAAAGCAAACGCCTGGGCACAATCTCAACTCATTCCTCTCGGAACTCACGGATCATCCCCTTGGAGAGACCACGTTCCCCGCAGCTCGGGGTAATTGTCTCCCCCTGAACTTCAACGATCGACAATCATATGCCCACGTCATTATGAAGTTTTTGTCGGATCCTTGTTCAAGAATCTTCCGTGCCTATCTTCGCCTTGCCTTTCGCTCCTTGACCTCTCCCCATGTGGGGAACAAGCGAGGGTGGCAGGTATATTCCGGAGCGACCAGATGGGGTGGATGTGACACCATGTTGGCCAAGGGTCGATGCTACGTCCACGGATGAATTGCTCCTGCATATTGTCATTTGGCCTAATGTCCAAGGATGTAACTGGCACCTTCCTGTTTTCCCTAGAAAGGCAGTTCACATGCCGATCTGTTCCGGAATGCTTTCCCCGCGACTTGTTGCCAATCCATAAATAAGGAGCTTAAAATCTGAGGAACGCGTCTTTTCTACGTCTCAATGTAAATTGGGCTGCTATTAGATTCTTCTTTGTGTATGAATGTGGATAGTCCCTGAGTTCATTATGCAACCACACCATTCCTCCTTCCGCATGGGGCTTCTCAGTGGCATCGTAACGGCCCTCTATGTTTCCAATGTGATAGCCGCAAAGGATACTTCGGCAGATGATTCTGACGTCTTGAAATATGTCGATCCTTTGATTGGTACCGCGAATGGAGGTCTGTCCTGAATACCATAAGCCTTTCTGCCAGCTAGGGCTGACAGCTCTTATAGGCCATGTATTTGCTGGCGCGACTTTGCCATTTGGTAGGCCATACCATACTTCGTGCTTTTACCCAGATAAGCTAACAAATGCAGGTATGGCCAAAGCAGTGGCGGACACAACAGGCGAGAATCAGGCTGGCTTCGCTTTTGATACGAAGGTTGTGACAGGGTTCTCACACATGCATGATTCTGGGACTGGTGGCGTAAGTTTTCGCAGATCATTGGAGAACATGCGCTCTATCTGACTCGCTTCAAAGGCCCCATCAATGGGAAATTTCCCTATCTTCGCGCAAGGCAATTGCCCGCAAGACGACATAAACCAGTGCAAATGGCAACAATCGGACAGAGCATCAGTCTGGGACAGAGAGTCCCCTAAAGCTCGCCCGGGATATTTCAGCATTTCATTGGCGAATGGTGTTCATGCGGAAATGACAACCACAAATCGATCTGCTTTATATCGGTTCACGTTCAATGAAAACTCCGGCCAGTCGCTCAGTCCAGTGGTCCTTCTGGATTTGATGGATTTACCTCAAACTCGAACAAGTGGCAGTGCTGACGTGAACCGATCAACTGGGCGTCTTACTGGAAGTGGTACTTTCAGCCCGAGCTTCGGGGCTGGCAGTTACAAGTCATATGTCTGTGTTGATTTCAAGGGAGCAGAGCTTCGTGACACAGGCACCTGGGAGAAAAATCAACCAAACATCAATAAGCGGACGCTGACACTCGGGTCTAATGCCGCATCAACTCTCTCGGCTGGTACATTTGCCAGATTTCACGCCCCCAAAGACAACAGTATTCTTGCTCGCGTTGGCGTTAGCTTCATAAGCGCTGACCAAGCTTGCTCGAACGCGGAGCGAGAACAACCCGACTTTGACTTCGAGGGCACCGTTTCCGCTGCTGAATCTGCTTGGCGAAAGAAGTTGGATACCATCTCTGTGGATGCAGATGGAGTTTCATCAGATCTACAAAAGGTCTTTTGGAGTGGAGCATACCGAACATTCATCAGCCCCCAAGACTATACCGGCGAAAACCCTCTGTGGAAAAGTGACGAGCCGTATTATGACAGTTACTATTGGTGAGCTAACCTGCTTCAAATCAGATGAGTAGGATACTAATAATACGCTCAGTATATGGGACTCATTCCGCAGCATTCATCCGATGCTAACCCTCGTTGATCCTTTCTCACAATCCCTCATGCTTCGCAGCTTGGTCGATACCTATAGACACGAAGGATACCTACCTGACTGTCGCATGTCGCTTTGCAAGGGATGGACGCAAGGCGGTTCCAACGCAGATGTGGTTATGGCAGATGCGTATCTGAAAAAGGTCCCAGGTATCGACTGGGACACTGCATATGAAGCTGTTGTCAAGGATGCAGAGATCGAGCCCAAGAATTGGGATGTGGAAGGCCGCGGTGGCTTGCGGAGTTGGAAAAGTCTCGGCTATATCCCTTTCGATGACCACGATCCTGATGGCCAAGGTCTACACACTCGGAGTATATCTCGAACGGTGGAGTATGCTTACAATGACTTTTGCATTGCCAAGATGGCACAGGGCATGGGTCACCCGGCGGACTATGAGAAATACACGAAACGGTCTGAAAACTGGGTCCATGTGTACAATCCTGACCAGAAGTCAAGCATCAATGGGGTCGACACCAACTTCACTGGATTCCTACAGCCTCGATACACGAATGGCACATGGGGCTACCAGGACCCGATCTTTTGTAGTCCTCTTTTGAACTTCACATCGTGTTACCTCAATGCTGATGGCCATGAGACCTATGAAGGTAGCGCGTGGATGTATACCTTGTAAGTTTACTTATGCTTTATTCTGCCTATATTCACAGCTAACGCTTTACCTACAGCTATGCCCCCCACGACATGGGCTCTCTTATCAAGACGCTGGGCGGTGCCGAATCCTTCACCTCTCGGCTAAGCTATCTACATGACTCTGGCTTGCTCTACGTGGGAGATGAACAGGCATTCTTACCCGTTTATCAATTCCACTACTCGGGACGGCCAGGCCTCTCGGCAAAGCAGAGTCACTTCTACATTCCATCCCAATTCAACACGACAGTCAATGGTATCGCCGGTAACGACGATAGCGGAGCCATGGGCTCATTTGTTGTTTTGAGCATGATGGGTCTCTGGCCAGTTCCCGGTCAGGACGTTTACCTGATCACTCCACCCTACTTCAAGGAAGTCAGCATTCGAAATGCTCTCAATGGAAAGGTTGCCACTATCCGCAACATCAATTTCGACCCTAGTTACAAGTCTATCTATATCCAGAGTGCTAAGTGGAATGGCAAACCGTGGACCAAGAATTGGATCACCCATGACTTCTTCGCTGACGGTGGTGTTCTTGAACTTGTGCTGGGGCCTAAGGAGAGTGAATGGGGAACTCATATTCGGGATCTCCCGCCGAGTTTGAGTGATTATCGGTGAATTTTTGATTGGCAATTGAGGAGAAACTGTGCTGAGAGAGAGTGACAGTCCGGGATTGTCCTTTATATACTACATGGGTAACTCCGTAAAGCTTAGCCATTACTAGGACCGAATATGGACATTGAGCAACATTATTCTCGTTCGATCATCTTTAACTTGAAAACATAATATAGCCCGTTGATCTATCAAATCACGAGACATCATCATTATTTAGTGAACCTATGGTAGTGTGTATCCTCCATCAATAACGACATTTGCACCAGTCATATAACTAGACGCATCCGAGGCGCAGAACACGTAGGCCTAAAGAAGGTTGTCAGTCGAATTCCAGAGGAGCTAGATCTGTGGAATCTTACCCCCTTCAGCTCATAAGACTCAGCCATTCTCTTGGCAGGAATCAAGTCGAACCACTTATCGCGCCACTCCTTAGGGAAAGTATCCAGAATCTCGGTAGCGATGTATCCAGGCGAGATGCAGTTGACTCGGCAGTAGTCAACCCACTCGACAGACAAGCACTTGGCAAGCTGAACAACACCCGCCTTAGACGCATTGTACTATAAAGGGATGAGCGATATGAAGGGATCATTTTCGATAGAGAACATACCGCCGCTTGCTTCTGTGGGAGATTGACCAGAGTCGCACTGACAGAGGCCGTGAAAATAACATTTCCACGACCCTGTTCCTTGAATATCCGGCCAGCGGCCTGGGCAGAATAGAAAGCACCATCAAGATTAACCTTCATAATCTCGCTCCATTGATCGGCCGTGTAATCTTCGGCGGCGGTGTTGGAGGCAATCCCAGAGTTGACGACCATGATATCAAGTTTCCCGAAATCCTTCGCGATCTGTTGCACAACCCCCTCGATCTCAGACTGAATGGCCACATTGGCTTTGTACGCTGCTGCGCGGACGTTGTTAGTAGATGCAATTTCAGCTGCAATTGTCTCGGCGGTATTGGATGTGTGATAGATCAAGGCGACCTTTGCAATTTGTTAATTTGATCTTTTTGTAGTATCAGGTAGTATGGTTTACATTTGCACCGGCTTCGGCCAATCCTCTCGAGACTTCAAGACCGATTCCACGAGCGCCTCCTGTGAGAGAGTGTTATTGAGACGCTTTTGATGTCGGAAGATATCGTACCAGTCACAATAGCGACTTTGCCTGTGAGGTCGAAGGCCTTCATGACATGCTGGTTTGGGGGTTGTGCGAGGACCATTTTGTCGTATAGCTTTCTTGCACTCGTGATAATGATATGAACAACAATCGAAGCTTCAAGGGAGAAGTTGAGAGTCTGAGACGTGTCAGCCCCCCCCCTCTATCCCCACATCGGGTCATCTCCGTGTGCCAACTCCGTGTTCTCCAATCATCGCAACTTCCTCCTGCAGCTCGTGCAGCGAAAAATGGGCCAGACCTTATTAGGGCAATTCCTGCCGAAAGCGACGTAACGCTGATGATCATGAATCAGTCTACTTTGCTCAATGTCCAGTGAGGCCCTTAATTTTCTGGCTGGTTCACTTTCTCGTTGCTTTGATGTGAACCGTTGGCACGGGTAGCTGACGTGGTTGGGTGAGAGGCATCGAGACGTCGGTTCACTTTTTTGAGTCCCTTGAACAACTGCTTGTTCTCCCTCGTAAGCTCGTAGGCCCAAAGGAGGGCGAGGGCTTCGTTAGACTTGGTATTTTCCATTGTCAAAGATGGGGCCAGAGAGGTGGAGAGGAAGAGAAGAAAGCGGATGACAGGAGGGAGATTTTGGATCCAAGGAAACAAAAATATTCGCCCACTTATACGGCCTTGTGGTGTCTTTTTGGTAGTCTCTTGAATATTTCCTCCCCCTTGTGTTAGTTTCATCTTATTCTGGTAGATTTTCTGGTGCAATCACTGGCTTCATATATCTGTATAGTTGCAGTCTTCCAGGTAACCCTCTGCTTCGCCTCTACTGTATTTCTACAAGATTCATAAAGGAGAAAATAATGCAAAGAAGCGCCAAACCTCACGCGCTTTCTAAGGTGATATTTCTCCGAATATTATGAGTAACATGAAACCTCAATCTGCAAGAAAACAATGCAAAGAAGCGCTAAATCTCACGCGTTTTCAAAGGCCATGTATCTCCGAATGTTATGAGCAGCATAAAGCCTCAATCTGCAAGTTCCCAGCTTGTCCCCCACATCCTTCGGGTTTCTCTCCCTACTCGCTATCAGGGGGAATTTCATCCATGGAATAGTCCTCATCTTCAATATTGACCTTGTTGATCTGAGTCTTTTCCTGGTCATCATCCTTGTCCTGGTCCTGGTCATCACTTTTGATGGAAGCTTCCATTGCATCAAGCTTCTTTTTCAGGCGCTTGAATCTCATCATAGCGGCATTGTTCTTGATGCCAAAGTGTTTGGCGACAGCCGGGAAGTCAATCTGTGAGTTGATATTGTTAGCATAATGGTTAGATGTTCAGTGAACCGGGAAAAACACTGACGTGGACATCCGAGACCTTGTGGCAGGTCCACAGGAACAAGATCTGTCTTTTCAAATCAGAGGACTCTTTGGTGTCCTTTGGCTTGGTTGGGCTTTTTCTGGCCTTCGTGGGCTGCTTTGGAGCCATTTTCACTCGAAAAATGAAGGTGTAATGAGTAGGTAGTTACAAGTGACTGTGAATGCTTCGTGATAATTGACTGTTGCTTAGAAGAGGGAGAGGAGGAAGAAGTAAAGTGTGAGAGATCGAGGACGAGCTTTTATAGTGTCACTTGATAGCAAACAACCAGCAAGAAAGCCTCGCTCTCAACTTACATGGACATTAACATAGCCCTATGCCGCAATGCAATAGTGTACATATTCTTTTATTCTGATTCAAATGGCCCTTCCTCTTTACATACATTAGTCTATCAAATTTGGGGTATAACCACAGTCAAAACAAGAAGCCACTGAGAAGCGCTCGACAAGCGAAGAACCAAACACCCTATGTCTTCACGGACTCAATGTTCTTGACTGGATGTAAAAAGATAGGAGGAAGACAGAGTCGAGAGTTTTCCTTCTCCCACTGCACACAATTAGCACCAGAATATGTCAAAGACCGCAATAGCAAGAACTTACCTCTTTGGCACTGTCATAGCCCATCCAGGCTCTGTATAACCTCTCTGCAAATTTCGAGTCAAACATAAACGTCGTATTGTAGAGGATATCATCATGTTTTCCCCAACTCCAGATACTGTCCATTCCAGCGTTGACCTTTCCAGGTTCACCCGGGTTGGCGCGACGGTTCAATTCTTCCGGGTCCCATTTGGAATCATGGTACACCGGTTGAGGAACCTGAACCGCCTTCAAACCATAGTACAAAGCCCATGATATAGGAGACATCTCAGAAGCGAGTCCGACCCCCGATTTCACCTTATCGTTATGCACCAGGGCGAGAAGTCGCGCCGAGATGCGAGACATTGCCACGACAGCTGCCCAGCGTGGGGTCTCCTGGTCTTGAGGGAAATTGAAGACGCGATCACGGAAAGGCCACTCCGTACCAACTGGGTTGAAATGAGGCAACCAGGTGATCAGATCGGCTTCTTCGCCCACACCCCATGTCCCTGTTTCGTTTGATGGGTGTGGCACAGGTGGCATAATGGCTTGTCCTTTGATGTCGATGCCTTCTGCGGGTCGAGGACCCCAAACAGTGCCGTTGTCATGGCCACGCATTTTCTGATCCACCTTCTTCGTGAATTCTTCCCAGGTGCCGTGGACAGCGGGAATATAGAAGTGAGAGTTACGCTCCCACAGATACTTTCGTGGCTGCTGTTTCGCAAACTCTGTTGCCTTGTGTAAAAGGTCGTACATATGGCCGGTATATCGCGAGTCCATCTCAAACTGCCAGATGTAGTCGTATTGAGGGTGTAGTCGTGAGAAGATTTGCGTGGGCTGGAAATATTGCAATATCGCTCTAATATAATGTCAGCAAGACAGTCTAGCTCTCAGTGCGTGAACACATACACATGAACCTCAATCGCAGGATACCAAGCGTTCAGCATATCCGCGTTAAACCATACCGCCAGACTGCGCAGCTCCTGTGGCAAATGTTTCTCTTCGAATGCCTTCCAGGCCGCACGATCAGTCTTTGTGGGCAATTTCTCGCCCTGGCAGTCGATCATGAGAATAACTTCATATTCCGCACCCGAGTAGAGTGCCAACTCCATAATCATAGATCGAATATGATACAAGTCGTTCTTGGTGTATTTCATACCGATCCAAGAGCGCAGTATAACAGCTGTCCGGGGTTGGATCTTGCTTGTTTCGTTCAAGGGCTCGCGGGGCTTTAAATCCTTGTCCAGTGACTTGTACAGAGCGACAATCTTTTCTTCAGATGGTTGCGTGCGATATCGATCGCTATTGCGCTGCAGACACTGATCTTGCAAATTGGCCCAGTCGACCATCTTCCAGTCTATTTCGACGGTCTCATTGGAACCATTTTTATGCGAATCGTGGATTTGAGTGGTTGCATTGCCCTGAAGGTAACCATATGCGCCATATCGGGAGTAGCGATCGGCACAGAGGCTGTTGTTCAAATTCCACGACTCATACGATCCAAAAATTGGTGTTGGGAAATCTGCCTCTGATTAGTTTTCTGTCGGCGTCTAGAATATTCCTCTTCGCACCTGAAGTATTCCAACGAAACCCGCTCATCATCATATCTTCATTTTTGCGAGTCAGGGGTTGCCCGCCAGGTCCAATGCATGGCTGGTAAGAACCATTTGACGTCGATGTCCCTTCCGCATCATAGTGTGGATAGGGGTCGTTGATCACTTGAGGCGAAATTCGATATTGACCCGCATAATCGCTCGGGAACGGGTCAATAGATTCTGTAGGAGTAGGGTCGGTAGGGTCGGTAGGGGGCGTAGGGGGCGTAGGGGGCGCTGTAGGGGGAGGGCTGATACAAATCAGAATGGGCCAATAAGGGGGGAGAAACGAGGGATCTTCTACTTTGACAGCTTCACCCGCAATGGAACTACTAGAGCATCTCTGGAATAGAAAAAGATCACAAAGACCAGGCACAGGGCGACGACAGCGAACCAACGCCTTGAAGAAGCGAAAAACCACCTCAGTACCACGAAGAAATCCATTAGAAGCTAGAAACTGCAAAATCCAAATATTTATTCCGGGGGGATCTCATGTTTTGTATTGATTCTTGATGCCTAGTGGCTTGGCTCGTCTTCATCTGTTTGTTCGGCCAATAGAGAGCGAACGCATGGAGACTGCCGAGAGACCCGAACGGGAGAGGGAATATTAAACATAGTATTTCTACGTCTTTTAGCCAGAGTACAGTCCTTCAGGGCTTGTGATTCAAAGTCAGTATCTGTTATTTTCAGCACTTGGCGGGATCCGGATACCCCGGGATCTGCTATTTCTCTATTTTGATATTTGTAGCCCTACTTTTTAGAGAATCCAGGAATATGAAGAATATGTACTCTTGATATCATATCGCTATGTACTCAAATAGTAATACGGACAAAAACACAGCTCCAATAGCAGCCCGTAACAATATATCAAACAGGCATTCCAATATGGTTACACGTATTTCTTCCAGAATGGGATTTCACTAGTCAGTCCCAGCTCGTCGACCCCATCCACTGAAAAATCCCCCGCCATTGTTGCTGGGTGGTGTTCCAAGTGTCTTCGGACCTTCAGTGGGAGATTTATTCGCCAAGCTGATCCGCGACTGCGATAGTCCAACAAAGGAATGGCGGTTTTCAGGATTTGCCGCCTGGGTCTTAATCATTTTCCGCAATGCGTCCAACTTGCCCTTTACTTCCTCAAGTTCCTGCCTAGCAACCGCCTCTGCCGTCTTGGCAGTAACCAAGTCCATGAGCAGCGTGTCGTCCGGGGGAGTTTTATTACTCTCCATCGACAAAACTCTCTGCAGACCCAGGCTGCTTGTCCGTCTGTTATATGTGGGGCTTTTTGCCGAGTTGGTGCGGGCTAGCTTGAACTCGCGCAGACCACTAGTGGGAGATTGAGACTCCCCAGAGTCAACCGCAGAAGAAGACGTTGTGTCTAGCGGAATTTCGGATATAGGAGTTTTGAGGTTACGCAGCTCGCGGTTCATGCGCTCGAGCCGCTGTCGATCCCGATGACCGTCTTGAATCCGGCCCCGGGCTTCTCGTAATTGCTCCTTGAGGGACGAGTTCTCCTGTTCGAAATCGTCGATGCGCCGGGTGAGGTTCAAGCAACGACCGGCTTCCACTTCGTGCATTTCCTTCCATCGAGTAACATCGTCATTGAGTTGGAGTTTGGTTTGGGTGATCGAAACACGCTTCGGTTTGACCGATTCAAAACGTGTTTGCGCTTTGTTTATTAATTCGGCCGGTTGTGTCTCAGTCGGCTGTTCTCTGATTTGGTTCAACATCTCCTTGGCCAGTGTATGGTCTTCCTCCCGCTCCTCCCTCTCCTGCTGCAGTTCACGTGTGAGGTTGGCTTGCTGGCGCTGAAGATCGCTGAGCGCCATCAAGAGCTCTTCAATTTGGGTATGGAGGTCGCGGTCTTTGTGATGTGAAGACATGTTGGATTTAACGCGCGATTTCTGACTATCGGCGCTAGCTGCACCCGCTGATAGTTCAGTGGCAGCGGTACTTGCGTCGGATGTAGTTTCAATGGAGTTGAGAGTAGATGTAAGGCTCTGTTTGGAGGTAGAGCGACGAATTGTACTGTTCTGACGTGACCGGTTAGTATTCGGATTAAGCGACTTGACCGAATTGTGAGAGTTTGAGCCAGCCCATAGTCGCCCAAGGAAGCCAGAAGCCGTTGCCTGCATCTGCGGGGAGGGTCCCGTTGGTGAGCCTTTAGATTGGTGGTAGCTGGCTTCAAGAGTTCGAAGACTCTCGTTCGTCACGAGAGGGGTGAGAGACACGAAATCATTAACAAGATCATCAGCATTGAAGGCATATCTGAATATCACGGGTTAGCGGGTTTCTTTGTTTCCAAGATTCGCTTTGTGCGGTGCCAAAAACTCACGTGTCCCACAAGCTTCGAGATAATAACAGTTGCATCACGTCTTCAAATTCGCTGCAAGCCAAAATTCTTTTCTCGTTGCGCTGCATCAGGGAAAGTGCAACTCGCATTAAAGTCTCGCATGCGCCTTCCAAAAAAATTACATCGTAAATTCGGAGAAGCATCGGCAGCGGACATGCCACCGCAAAGAATGATAAGAACCACTGCGATACGTAGACCGGCTCAACGTGCAGTGCTTCCAGATGTTGGAACAGGACCGGCCTGTGACGTGCTAGAAGATTTTGGAACTGATAAACATGAAGGTGGAGACCAGAAAGGTCCGGAAGATAGCAAGTTCGGAGGTTGTAATGATCCATGAGGCTACAATACGTGATGCATTAGGACGGCTTCTCCAAGTTATATCATCGTCCACGGTGACTTACCGGACAAGAACACAAAAGGCCTCAGCATCTGACATGTGCATGAGTAGAGGGCCTACCACAAATCCAAGACCTTGGCAGTAGCCAATCTTGGTATCATAAAGACTGAAGCATCGCAATACTCGGCCGAGCATTTGTTGGCCCTCGCCGTTCGGGTCGCGGAACATTTCAACATTGGGAAAGCTGCGACCAATATCTTTTCCAATCAGGCCATCGTAAGGACTGCTTTCACCCGAAAGTCTCTGGAATTCATTCAACAGATTAGGATCGCGTGCGCCCGCTAGGCTAGGCCACACCACTCCTCGCAATGGCGGAGGCACACCTCCTTGAATCTTATTCGAGGTCAATGTCGGCAAACGATGGGCAGTCTGATGATAATCGGCAACAAGTGCAGCCCAAAACTCTAATTCGGTCATCGGAGGAGGGGGTAGCTGCGAGTACCGCAGCTCTGCCCGAGTGGGATCCTTAATGAGTCGCTTGATCTGGTGTAGAGACTCGGAGCGGGATTGCCGCTGGTGTATCTTGCCATCAGGAACCTCTGTTATCCCGGATTTGGGGTTGGTCGCTAAAGCGTTGTTTTCTTGTTCGAGTCGAGCGAGGAGTAGGGCCGTAGACTAAAATTAGGTTAAGAATGTTAGCACCCATTCTAGAATTCTGTCACAGCTTATCAGACTTACTTCATCGGACCCCTCCCCACGCGGTTCTCGTTCCTCTGTCTTATCAAGGTTCTCCCAATCCACCTCATTGTCAAACATTTCGCCTGTCTGCCTCTCCCTGTTCACACCTGGGGTTTCGGGAGTAGGAGTGGTTCTCGCCGCGTCCTGTAATGGCACCGGTCCAAAAGAGTCCTCACTCTCCTTCTCAAGATGGCTCATCTCCACTGGAGTTGGAGGGATGTCAAGAGTGCGCCAATCCGGTTGGGTGTGCTCTGAACTGGACTGGTTATCGGATAACGCGACGGTGACCATGGAGTCATGGTTAAGCGCGTGAGCGCTGGGAGATGGCTCGAAACCTTCCATTCTGACGTGTGACGCGATAGGGAAATAGAGTAATGGTGGAAAGGTGTCGACGCGTTATTGACAATCTTGATATCGGAGGATAGCAGGGAATATTTCAGGGTTTCAACTGCATAATGCACACAAGTATTCAAGAAAACCAATTCTTACAGAAATGGACCTAGATATCTAGACTTGTATCCAGTACAAGGAGAAAAGGCTGGAGGAAAAAAGGGAGTCAGGAGAGATCCCACTTTCGTTAGCCCCCCTTTAGCTTTCCCCTCGTGGAGTCTCGGCCCCGTCGATCCTCCTCATACACCGACTGTTTGACCATTGAAATGAATATATTATGGCATTTTGGAAGAAATTATGTATATTGTATCAGATATAAGATAGTATTGATTCCATATATGTTTGTCCAGGGTTCCCCCACATTAACCAAATTGGTACCGGAGGTTTTCAAGTATATTAATCCTAGAGTATGCTTATAGTCATGATGAGCACTAATGTACATGTACGGAGCAGACTCCGTTACATATGTCTCGATTCCCGTTATCTCTGCATATTGCCTGCAGGTACTCCGTACTGCAGCTCATATTTGGAAGATTAAAGGTTCAAGGGGCACCGTTATTGTACGGTCTTGTATTTTAGATACATCCACAGGTCCATCTGTAATATTGCCTTGGTTTTTATTGGCTAGTATTGTATATATGGCCGAATTGATTGGAGAAACCCCCGGGCTTATATTGAAATACAATTACCACCCCCTGGCGTGTCAGTTTCACCTCGATATTGAGGCTGGCCAACGTTGTGCTTATATTGTAAACCATACATTCCAAGGGTGACTCGAAAGGATTATATACAGATTTGATGTCTACTTATATTATTACGGAGTACTCCATACAGACTTCTGTACCACACCCTAGGGCTCACACCATTTATCCACAGAGTGTGGTCCATGCGGTCCGCCTGTCAATGGGATATTTTCCAACCCACTTTTCCAGATTTTTAGGAACTTTTCGGACTACGGGGTATAGACGAGTCAGTAACCGCTGTTTGTAACTGTGTGACCCTCGGCTTTAAGACTGTATATTCCGTTCAACGGGCATTTGACTTATTTTCTGCGATAACTGCGTATATTTTCGGAGTGGCTTTATGGCTACATATCTATGTGAACCCCAATCCCTATGTCCGCTAGAAAGCAGATTGGGTCAATACATAGTGCCATGCATCACAGCATGTGACTTTATCCCAATCAATGGCTATTACTACTATTATTCATAGTCTGACTGTTGATACGACTGTTGATACTATACATTGTAACCAGAGTCACGCAAGGGTCACATACAACCCCGCGGCTGGGATTAGTACTTTACTCACTACACATAGTATCACAGGTGAGTATATCTCTTTATGCATTAATAGTCATGAGTAGTCTACCAAGTGCACAATGTCTCCCAGGTAGTCGCTTTATCATTGAAGGGTCCCTGTATAACATAAATTGACTCCCTACGTAGATTATGAGAGGTTTCTTATACATCAGCTATGTTAAAAGGGATAGAAAATAGAATTCAGTCAGACCTGACATTTAGAGATTATTGCTCTAATTTTACCCATCAAACTATATTTAGATCTTCACTATTTGCACTGACATCAATTGTGACATCCAAATAAGAATAAAATTGAGGGATCTGTCATCCCAGGAATATTCCAGTTATACACATCTATAGATAGATTTTGTTTTTATCTCACACTGAATTGACGTGAATCAAAACATGTAAAGGGGAACTTGTTGTTTCCGTTCTTTTGTTTGTGAATTGCCTATTCGGGCCGCGTTTCTAGGCGGTGAGGAATAATAATGATCCGAGTGGCTACAAACTGCCCACCGCCCCCTGTCAGTCGCGACTTCCCCGGGCAAAAAAACAACAGGCCCCTCCGCGTAATCTCTCTCACTTCTTCTCTTTTGCTTCTCGTTTCACCCTTTTCCGGCTTGAGCATGCCGGAGCTTGATTGATCCGTTCTTCAACATTGATAGCTTCATTCGTTTGCTCCAACTTTTGAGGCCTGACTTAGGCTCTTTTTTACCCCCGACAGCGTTCTATCGCGTTCTATTTGTTTACTCATATTTATCATGGATGAGTCCATGATGGAAGACTCGGTCTTCGAGGATGACGGAGGCAGCTCTGACTTTGCTCCCGAGCCCGCACCGGTATGAACTGCCCCCAATATGACAATCCCCGACACTGTGATTACTGACATTAAACGTTCTCAGAAACCCAAAGCCAAAGCGGCTCCTAAGAAAGCTGCTGCCGCCAAACCTGCCGCCAAAAAGACCACACAGACTACATTGAAGGCCAAGCCTGCTGCGAAACCAGCCGCTAAGAAGAAGGCCAAGGCCGACAGCGAGGACGAACTGTCCGATATTCATATGTCCGATGCTGATTCTCTGCTTTCCCACACCCCTCCTAAGGCTAAGAAAGCGGCTGCACCCAAGAGAGCCGGCTCAAAGCCTCTTGCGGATGTCGAAAATGAGTCCCACGGAGGAGACGCTGCTGCTGACAGCGCGAGCAAGAGTGGAAATGCATCAGAGAAGTACCAGAAAGTAAGTCTCTGTGCAGATGCGATTTTGGCCGGATACTTACTATGCTTTAATATAGCTCACCCAACTTGAACACATTATCAAACGTCCCGATACCTACATTGGATCCACCGAACGCACCACGCAGCAGATGTGGGTGTACAACTCCGGAACCGAGTCGATGGAGTACCGCGATGTATCTTTCGTCCCTGGTCTCTACAAGATCTTTGACGAAATTGTAGTCAACGCCGCCGATAACAAGCACAACGACAAGAACATGAACGAGATGCGGATCACAATTGACCGCGAGGCAGGTGAAATTAGCGTGTGGAATAACGGACGTGGTATCCCTATCGAGATTCACTCCAAAGAGAAGATCTATGTGCCCGAACTTATATTCGGCCATTTGCTCACTTCTTCCAACTATGATGATAGCCAGCAGAAGGTGACTGGAGGTCGCAACGGTTTCGGTGCCAAGCTTTGTAACGTTTTCTCAACAGAGTTCAATCTCGAAACTCAGGACTCTCGCCAAAAGAAGAAGTATAAGCAAACCTGGACCGAGAACATGACGAAGATGGGCAAGGCGAAGATCACAGACGCCAAGGGAGATGACTACACCAAGGTCACTTTCAAGCCAGACTTTGCCAAATTCGGCATGGAAGGCATCGACGATGACTTCGAAGCCCTGGTGAAGCGCAGAGTCTACGACTTGGCGGGTACCGCCGATGTTGCCGTCAAATTAAACGGCACACGCGTCCCCATTCGCAATTTCCGAAAGTACATGGAAATGTACACCAAAGCCATTCGCAAGGAGCGCGGTGATGACGGTCCTCCCTCAAAGGATGAAATTATTACATGCAGCCCCGATCCTCGATGGGAAATTGGTTTCGCTGTTTCGGATGGTTCGTTCCAACAAGTCTCATTTGTCAACTCGATCGCAACAACCTCGGGCGGAACACATGTCAATTACATCGCCGATCAGATCTGTACCCGCTTGGCCGACCAGGTGAAGAAGAAGAACAAGTCTGGAGCAACTCTGAAGTCGGCACAGATTCGGAACCACATCTTCATTTTTGTAAAGGCATTGATTGTCAACCCGGCCTTCACCTCCCAGACTAAGGAACAGTTGACGACAAAGGCCAGTCAGTTCGGTAGCAAGTGTCCTCTTGATGAGGATTTCTATAAGAAGGTCTTGAAGACCGAGGTCATGTCAAATATTCTGCACTTCGCGGAGCAAAAGCCGATCAGATCTTGAAGAAGGGTGATACCGGCCGACGCACGCGTATGAACAACCCGAAGTTGGTCGACGCCAACAAAGCTGGCACCAGAGAGGGTCACCACTGCACTCTCATTTTGACTGAGGGTGAATCAGCCAAGGGATTGGCCATGGCAGGCAGAGCAGTCGTTGGACCAGACTTGTTTGGTGTTTTCCCCTTGCGCGGAAAACTTCTTAATGTCCGCGATGCTTCTTTTGACCAAATTTCGAAGAACGTGGAAATTCAAAGCATCAAGAACTTCATTGGTTTGCAGCACAAGAAGGAGTACACCGAGACCAAGGGACTTCGATATGGCCATCTCATGATCATGACTGATCAGGATCACGACGGTAGTCACATCAAGGGTTTGCTCATCAATTTCCTTCAAGCACAGTTCCCCAGCTTGCTCAAGATTCCCGAGTTCCTCATTGAGTTCATCACTCCTATCATCAAAGTTTGGAAGGGTGACCCGAAAAACCCGACTAAGCAGAAGTCGTTCTTCACCATGCCCGAGCATGATGAATGGCGTGAAGCCCACAAACACGAACGCGGCTGGGAACATAAGTACTACAAGGGTTTGGGAACTAGCACCACGGAAGATGCACAGGTATATTTCCGCGACCTTGATCGTCATCTCAAGGAGTTCCACACTATGCAAGAGGGTGAAGCTGGACTCATCGAGCTGGCTTTCTCCAAAAAGAAGGCAGATGAGCGTAAAGAGTGGCTTCGTCAATACAAACCTGGCACATATCTGGACCATTCAGTGGCGAAGATCACATACACCGACTTCATCAACAAGGAGCTCATCTTGTTCAGTATGGCGGATAACCAACGTTCAATTCCTTCCGTTGTCGATGGTTTGAAGCCAGGTCAACGCAAGGTGCTTCACACCTGTTTCCGCCGCAACCTGAAGAAGGATATGAAGGTGGTCGAGCTGGCAGGTCATGTATCCGGAATGACAGCCTACCACCACGGTGATGTCTCCCTTCAGCAGACTATCGTTGGTCTTGCCCAGACCTTTGTTGGCTCCAACAATCTCAACTGCTTGGAGCCTAGTGGAAACTTTGGTAGTCGACTTCAAGGTGGTAACGATTGTGCCAGTGCTCGTTACATCTACACTCGCCTGTCCCCCTTTGCACGCAAGGTTTTCCATGCGGCCGATGAACCATTGCTCACGTACAATGAAGACGATGGCAAGAAGATTGAGCCCGAGGTCTTTGTGCCTGTCGTCCCGATGATTTTGATCAACGGCGCGGATGGTATCGGAACTGGTTGGAGTTCTTCTATCCCAAACTACAATCCTGAGGATATTGTGAACAACCTCAAGCGCCTCATGGCTGGCGAGCCTACTCAGCCGATGCAGCCTTGGTTCCGTGGGTTCACTGGTGAGGTTGTGGCCATTGGTGGGGATCGATACAAATTTAGCGGTATTATCAGGGAATGTGGCGAGAAGGAGGTCGAGATCACCGAATTGCCTATTCGAAGCTGGACACAGGATTTCAAGGACAAGCTGGAGGAAATCATTAAGGCTGAGAAGGTGCCATCCTTCATCAAGGATTACAGGGACTACAACACTCACACCAAGGTCCACTTCATCATCCAACTCGATGAGAAACACATGAAGGTTGCTCTTACCGAAGGCTTGGAAGAAAAGTTCAAACTGACCAAGACGATTGCAACAACCAATCTGGTGGCGTTCGATCCCGAGGGCCGCATCACCAAGTACGCCACTGTCGATGACATTCTGAAGGAGTTCTTTGTCGTTCGTCTTAAATATTACGAGCGACGCAAGCAGTTCCAGCTTTCCGATCTACAGAGAGAGCTGGAGAAGCTGAGCAACCAAGCTCGCTTCGTACAGATGATTATCGATGGCAAATTGGTCATCTCCAAGAAGAAAAAGCCTGTTCTAATCACTGAGCTCAAGGACAAGGGCTTCAGACCAATTGCCAAGGTAGCTGAGGCGGCCAAGATGGGTGAAGTTGAGCCTGTGGTAGAAGAAGGAGAAGGAGAAGAGGAGCCGGATGAGGCTGACGCTGAAGTGCTATCCAGTTCATTCGACTACCTTCTGGGTATGCCTATGTGGTCGCTGACCCAAGAGCGGGTGGAGAAGCTCCGTCGCCAGATCGGTGAGAAGGAAACAGAGGTCGATGTGTTGATTAAGCTGTCCAAAGAGGACATCTGGACCCACGATCTGGAGGAGTTCATCAATGAGTGGCGCTTCCAGCTTGAGGATGAGGATCGTCGAGCCCGCAAGGTGGCTAGACTGGACCGTCGCACATCGACCAAGCTACCCACAGGTGGTGGTCGCGCCGTGGCTTCGCGCAAGCGTAAGGCTGCTAACGGCGATGATCCAGACGATGAAGACTTCGGGGGCCCCAAGACGAAGAAGGCCGCCGCGGCCAAGAAAAAAGAGCAGCCCAAAAACAGCCTGATGAATTTCCTCAATCAATCTTCGAACAAACCAACCCCATCGCCTGCAGCAGATGGAACTGCTGACTCGGATGACGAATTCAACATGGACATGGAGATACTTCCAAAGAAGAGCCGTGCTACCTCAAAGCCTAAGACTCTGCCTAAAGAAGAGGACGACTTTGTAGATATCGATGACATTCCCAAAACTTCGCGCGCATCAGCTCAGCCAGCTGATGACACTATGGATGTGGATGTGGATGAGGCGCCAAAGCCCAAACCAGCGGCCAAGGCAGCAGCCAAACCGGTGGCTAAACGAGGACCTAAGCCCAAGGCCAAGGTCGAAGAGGACTCGGATGACGATTTCTTAGAGATTGCCAAGTCCGAGGCTTCCAAGCCCGCAGCGTCTTCTCGCGCTCGCAAGCCTGTCAAGTACTCAGCGCCTAGCGATTCTGACAGTGACAACGGTGATGATCTTCTTGGAGACGTTAGCATGATGGTCAAAGGCATTGGGGCTGACTCCGGCGCCGATTCTCGACAACTCTTCTCGGAGCGCCCCCGTTCGGAAAGCAGTGCCAGCGTGAAGACTGCCGCGAAGTCTTCCAAGGTCAACGACGATTTTGATCCGGATGAGACTGACTACAGCAAGCTCATTCCTCAAAACTCCCCACGGCGCTCCATCCAGGTCAAGCCCAAGGAAGTCAAGCTTGACGACAACGATGAGGACGACGAGGACCAGCCCGTCAAGCCAACTGCTCGAACCAAGGCTGCCCCCAAAGCCAAGGCTGCGCCAAAGGCTGCTCCTAAGGTCGTAGAGGTTGACGATGATGAGGAGGAGGAGGATGAGCCAGTCAAGCCAACTGCTCGGGGTAAGGCCGCACCCAAAGCCAAGGCTGCCCCGAAGGCCGCTGCCACCACGGCGCCAAAGGCCCGTGGTCGCCCCAAGAAAGAGCCAGCTCCCAAGCCCGCCCCCAAGTCTGCTCCCCCGGCTTTGTCCCCAGCGGCCAAGGCCTATGCTTCGAAGCAAGCCAAGGCAAGCAAGAAGATTGCGGATGATTATTCGGAGGATGACATCGACGCAATGGCTAACGACATTTTGGATTCCCCAGCGGGCAAAGTGAATGTGGATATTTCGGAGGACGAGGAAGAGCCCGCTCCCGCCCCCCGTCGTGTCGCTGCAGCCCGTCCTGCTCGTCGCGGTGCCACACAGCTGAAGAAGTCCTATGTCATTGAGGATGAGAGCGACGAAGAAGCGTCAGCCGATGACTTTGACGAGGACGAAGATGAGAGTGACTAAGTAGTGGAATAGTGCTATGCCCATTTGTGATGTTCTGCTTTTGTTTTGCAATGCTCTCTATTTTGTTTTTATTTTCTTTCATCTCCATGTCTTAGTTTAGTATTTTACAGAGATCTGGCAGAGCCAGTGCATGCAAGGCAAATACGGGATGTTTAATTTTTAATATTTTCATTCGTAAGTCTTTTAGTAGCGTCTAGTATCTTATGTTCAGTCTGCCTCTTGTTCTCTTAATCCTGACTACATTCATATTAGAGAAATGTGATTATTGACAATGCTGATAATAAGACAAATATAGGGCAAAGACTTCGTGTTTCGAATTTCCATTGAACACCTAACGCCGTCCAATCTCATAAGAAGAAAACAAAGTTGCATTGTAACCTCGAACAGACAATCCTAGAAGAGTTCCCAGTGCCAGCTAATCCTTCAAGATTCTCGATCAAATGAAAAGGACATCAACTTGAACATGCAATCCTGCAATCCCTCAACTCCAAGTAAAATCATCAAACCACGCACTCATTCCTCACAAAATGCATAGAGACAGCACCACCACACAAAAACCTTCAGCTCCTAGACCATAAACGCCATTCCCATGTCAAATTTTTAGCGTACTCAGTCAAAGCGAAGCACGACGTCGCTTACGACTACGAGATTCATCACCATCAAGAGAGCGAGATTCGGAAGCCGAGGCCATTCCGTCATCGTCCATCTCGGTTTCGGCCCCGACGCTTTCAAGCTCATTCATGTGCAGACGAAGAAGAGCTTCAGCAGCCTTGACCTCACGAGTGAAGTGAGACGACGACTGAGGACGCGCAGCTCGGGATTTCCGACTGGGATACTTCTTAGTCTGGGATGCAGGACTTTCATCACCGTCCTTGCTGAATGAAGCTCCACCAGTCTTCTTGAGAGGAGGTCCACGGTAGTCTTCATCGTCAGCATCGTCCATTTGCCAATCATCATCCGAGTCAGTTAGGTCCTCAAAGTCGCTGTGCACAGCAGGCACCTCTGACGCATCGTTGGGCTCGTCGAGGCCGAGCTTGTCGGTTCCCATACGTCCATCCATAGAAGGACAGTTTGGAGTGGAATACATGTTCGACGAGCCATCGCTGTCGGTGTCACTGTCTTCACTGATACCCCCAGCAACATTCTCCGGACGCATAGCGTCTGAGAGAGCACGGAGAACATCACGAGGTGACTCGACCCGCGAGCGAGGCATGGCATTGGAGCTGCGTGGGGGGTTGATGGGGGTGAAGGTAGACATGGGCGACTGGCTCTTGGGTGACATGCAGTAAGGTTCCATAGAGGAGTCCCGGGCACTGGGGTTGCTCTCTGCGTACTGGGTACGTGGAATCTTGAGCGGTGGCAGTGTCAGGGAATCTTGTCGGCTCAATAATCCCATACCGTGGAGAAGGGTATGAGTTGAGGAAGGCTCGTTGATCGCGGGGGAGCTGGCTGCAGTGCTGTGCTTCATCTCCAAAGAGCGATAGTAGTTGGAGGTGTTGGTGGCACGCTGAACAATTTCTGAGGGGATGATCATACGGCCGTGAGATGTGCGGTCCGTTGGGGGGATGCACATGGCTGGGAAATCTGTGCCAAACAGGGGAGTCAGGGCGTATCGGATTCTCCAGCAGAAAGTCGCTGCCAATGCTCTGGCGGCTTCGTAGGGCATCCAGTATCCTGTGTGGAAAGCAAGACAAGTGTTAGACCTTACTATCCAAGGAATCATTTTGTAGGAGCAGAGGGTATAAAGTTCTTACCTTGAGCAGAAAGTGCCCCGCCGGTGATGCTGTGACAGATATCGCGGAGGCCGGGGTTCTGGCCCAGCATCTTGGCTGGGGTGGTCTATAAGAAGTTAGAAATCCCGAATTTATCGAAGAACTGTCTTATGAACTTGCCTTGGAGTAGCCATTGCATTTGAAAAGGTGTGTGATCCGAACGATGCCAATATTGTAGTCCCACATAACATGCCATTCCTTTTCTTCGCCAGGTATCTGAAATGTATATTGAAAGACTAGATGGAAGATTCAGTGGTGAAGATCAAAGCACGTTCAACGGCACATACCATGGAAGCTGTCTCGGCCTGTCTTTCCTTGGAAGGTTTTCTTGTCGCTTGCATATGGGATATGACGAGGATAGTCGGCAATATTTCCCAGGGGACGTAACGAGAACTCTCTATGAGCCTTCTCCAGCTCCGCATCTCTTTCCTCGCAAGGAGGATAGCGGCACTCGCCCTGGATCTTGCCACGACGGAAAATTGGGGCGTCCTTGGCCATCTTCTGCCGTTTTTCACGGGCAGGGAATGGATACGGAGATCGCCTTTCAGGCTGAGGATTCAGAAGGGATTTGATAGATAGCATTAAGAAGTTCAAGTGCTATCCTTGAAGGAAGGGAAGAGTTGAAGAAGTACGAAGTCTCCGGGGGAAAGAAGGAGCTTAATGTCTCTTGGAACAGGAGGTGTTTTCCAGAAGGATTGAGAGGCAGTAAAACCTGTGAGAAGTAACAAAGTAAAGCAAGACAATCCAAGACCTTTGTTCGAAGGTTTGTTCCGTACAGCTTCCTAAGTACAGGCGTGTTTGTTGGCAACTACCTTTCGAGGAGACAGCGGTGAATAGAAGAACTCGGATCTGAGAGTGTCTCTCGGAATGCAAATGACCTTCACCGATTCTTCGCCTCTCTCTATCTCTATCTCTCTACCTCTCTCATATCACAAGGGTCCTTGAAGTTGGACGAGTCCACGGGCTGTTTGTCTCTCCGCGTGGAAGTGAAAACTTCCAATGATCTTCGACTTTGAACTGATGATGCAGTGTGCATTTCTATGTCCCTGGAAGCAATTACAAAATATAGACAATTTGAGACCTGTGTTTCTCACATCTCGAGGCATAACCTGTTTCACATTCACGACTGCGACTACTCAAACCTCTCCCCCAAAAGAAACATGAAAGAAAAGCATGGCAGCAACCGTTTCAGGGACCATGTGGATATCCTGGATTTCCTTTTGGAAACGCAGAGAGTCACCGCTGCATGCAAACAGCCTGTTACGGTAATAGGTACGTACAAAGGTTTACTATATTATACGCAAGTCTATGCCCTAATATCCCGGGGTAGAGAGCTCAACCGTTGTGCCACCTTTTCTTTTCTTCAGAATCTTATTGAAGAACCCATGCCAGATCTTCCTTGGTATCGGACTAGAGCTAGGGTACTGCAGCAACCGGAGCACTAGGACGCCAGTTTAATGGTCCAATGAGAAGCTACATACCCCATGGTGGCTCGGCAGGATGAGCATCAAAAAGGTCTCAGACCCACGGCAAGCTGCAGGGCAACTTACTCCTTGTAGGACGGGAACATGCATTACCTGGCGAGTCCGCGAAGTGCATCTGAGAAAAGCTGTGCTGCAAAGATAGACTTCTGACAGTATCAAAGATTCTGGAAAAAGTGACAGGGATCTTTGCTTGGGTTGCACCCCACGCTTCCATGCCTATACAGTGTGCACTAGGCTGTACAAGCGGTCTATACATTTGACGGGGTAAGGCTGAATGATACAAACACATTCCGACGTCTAAAAAGAATGGAGTGGTTCTTTGCTATCTATTGACAGTTTTATACTGCACTTCTTCACCTTCCCACCTTCCTGAAAGATGCATAATGTAAGAACCTTGGCACTGTCAACTAGACCGCTAGTTGAAGTCCAAGGGCGTGCATGTAGCAGAGACATTGGCCCCACAGAGGCAAGAGAGACATAATAACGACCTCAAAGAACCTTCCATGCATCCTTCTATGCAGCAGTCCGACACGTTGGTGGCTGTAGCCCACTTTTCCTGCCCGTATCTTTTTCTTTTCTCTACTTGTACCGACTTATACCATAGTACCATACTGAAATCTCCCAGTCCGTTTTGCAACCCGCTATTGTACCCACCTGCAAGTCTAGTTGATTCTGCATAAGACTTCCAACAGGTACAAGGGGTCCATCCGCCAATCGGTGCCGGGCCGGGGCAGCAGCATTACAGAGCACTGCAGAAAACGGTGCATATAGACGCCGGACGCTATGCAATCTAGTCAGAGACTGTAAAGGTCGAGGACTGAGTGAACTAGATGCCAACCCAACCGGGCTAGTTTTCGAGGGGAGATGGGCTCAATTGCATTGGAGTCGGTCTGCAAAGAGTCCCAACAGCCGAGACTGAGAGAGTCCAGAAACGAAGACTGGTTTCCAATGTCTTAGACACTCTGGTGCTGGCTGAACGGGCTCTATTAAACCCCCAAAAGAGCGGTAAACCTGGACATGCGTGTCCCCCATCTGCGACGCGTCTCAGATCCCGGGCTTCTGGAAAAGGGGTAAGAAACCATGTCTCAATTGGGATGTTGCTGTTGGTGTTTAGGCCTTTTCTAGCGGTTATTTTTCCTTTCTTATTGATTTCCGTAAAGTATAATTGAGCCCCTAAGTAACATTGACTCTTTCAGGTTGCCCTTGGGGGGTTCCTCTTTTCACATGTTTATCAAGAAGTCGGAAGACTCATCGTTCAGATTAGAGCTGGGTAGAGTCTTGAGGATGCTGTGGTATCCTGACAGCAAGGTCTCGACCGTGAACAAGGAATAAATGGAGCATTCATGGCCACATGAGCCTGCAAGACTCGATACTAAATCAAAGTTTCAACCAGTCGAAAGATTCGCTTCTATCATAAAGAGGTCCAGGCCTTGACCCGTTGAACACAAAATACAAATCGGACCCGACCCCCACTTGACTCAGCTTGGGATTTCACAAGATACCCATCACCCGCAGATATCAGACCACACTCTGGAATCTGTACCACGGCCCTCGAATCTGGGGTATATGGGGCGTGAGAGATGGGGAGAAACACAGTTCCGAGCACGACTGAACAAGGCAAGTCTTCGAGGGAGAGGGGAAGTACAATGAAAAGGAAAAAACCGTCACAGGCTGGCCCGAATCGCGATGCGGCGAATAGGGAGCCGGGTCGGTGGACCGGGATGAAACTCAACGGCTGCCTTGCACTCCAGGGCTGTTGAGTCAAGGCCGCTTGCATGTAATGAGCAACTACCCAAGTGGGTTTTGGTCGAGGCTTTTGAGATGGGAGTCATGGGATGTGGCAGTGTGTGGACTGGATCTAGTTTCCTGGTAAGTAGTACGTATACAATATCTCTTGACAGTTGCCTAGATAGTCGCCGAGGTCCTTGCGGGAGGCTCGAGGACGGGCACACTGCATGAAAGTCCTGGGGATATATGGAAAGTCAAGTTATCATCAATTTTATGTAAATGTAATTCCATTAGAAACAATATGAAGCCGAGAAAACATAGACAAGGGGTGGAGAAAAGAAGTAGACGGATAAAAATGTCCAGTGGGTTGGAAAGGGGATAAAATATCGAAAAGGGGAAAACAAGAGACATGACACCTCATCACTCAAGGATCCTTATTTTTTATTGTTCGTCGACACGATTTGGCGATCAGAGCCCATTCCCAAGGGATCCCCAAGAACAGGTAACTCAAAAACCGATCTCACGTGCCATTCGGCATATCCAGCAATGAAATAATGATATCGTTTCACCAAAGAATATTCGATTATTCGATTGACGCTCAATTTTGAGGTCAATAATATTCTTGGTTAAGATGACCTAGTATCATTGAGACCTTATTTAAATGGCCAAAAGAGGCTCACGGTCACCGGCCTGCTCTGCTGGCTCCACGGACGCAACAATGTCAGACTCGAGAGCATGGGCGATGGGAGCGGCCTTGGGGGCCTCGGGGAAGTCCTCGTGCTTAACGACGGGCTCGACAACAGAGGCAGTAACAGGGGCAGTGACGGGAGCAGTGACAGGGGCAGTGAAGTCGGCAATGGGCTCGGTCTTGACCGACTCAGCAACAGTCTCACGCTTGACCGGGCTCACGACTTTGGTCGCCTCCGGGGAGGCAGAGCGGCGGGAGCCAATGTATTCCTGAGCCTTAGAGCTGTACTCGCCGACATACTGCTTCATCAAGCCGGTGGCATGCGAGGTACGCTCGCCAGCCATGTCCCGGAGCTGGTTGGTCTGGGAGTTGATGATCTCCTGGAGGTTGGCGATCTGCTCATCAATGATCTCACGGTTGCTGATGTAGATAAGGGGGGTGAAGTATGTGGTGGTCACGCCAATGACGGCCAAACCCCAGAAGGGAACGAAGCGGATCAGCCAGTAGCCGGTGAAAGCAGCAGTGAAAGCCTAAGAACTCGTTAGTCTCTGCCATTTGGTTCGTCCTCGTTGACAAGTTTTAACCTACCGCAACGGTGTGGAGGATATTCTCAGCGAACAGGATGCGCTGGAACTCGATCAGGAAGAAGTCCACAAGCTGCTCGAAGTCCTCGAGCAAAGCCTCAACGGTCTCCTTGGGGACGGTGTAGTAGCGGCGGGGGCGGAATCCACTGGCGATTCCCCGCTTGAGGATAACTTGGCCAGCAATCTCGACGGTGGCGGTTGCTGCACACAATTGTTAATCAACCAGTCTGTTTACCGTGGGTCACGCGACCAACTTACCTCCCAATGACATGTACAGGAACTTGAAGACCCAGCGGAGGAGGGGTAGATAACGGGCGGCGAAGATGAAACAGATCACGCTGGCGTAGGAAACGGCGGTCGCACGGGGTTGTTCCCACTACATACACACAAAGATTAGCAAGCTATCCAAAATTGAAGACTCGGGCGAAAAACTCACGCTCAGAAGGCTGTGCATCAAAGAGTGGTAGTCTAAGCACTTGTTAATATCCCGCTATCCGATCAATCCAGTCTCATGACGTACGGGTCAAAGGTTGACCATCGGCGGTGGTGGTCGAGGGGGTCACACGCGAGTTTTTCAGATCGCGAAACTCCTCGCTGGTGCGGGATGCTTCGGCCTTCACATTATCGACAATTGGGCCTATCAAGGAACTGGTCAGCTTTGTTCGGTGACTTCACAGTCTTCGGGGTCCCTATTTACCCTTGGTAATAACATCGCTGATGCCTGGACGCAAGAGGGGTCAATGTCAATCTCTCATGGCCTCGGAATCTAGGGAAAAGAAAAGAGCATAATACTGCAAGAGGGCTGGGGGTTAGCAAATTCGTCCTGCGGGATTGAAGTGACCTGTTGATTTTCTTACCTTACTGCCCGTGTTAGGGTAGGTCACGTCACCAGAAGCCATGACGGTAATATTTTTTTTTTGAGAAGCACTCAGGGGCAGGTTTTAAAAAGAGAAATTAGAAAATTCGTAAGAAGCGTATCAACTGAGTCGAAGCGTGAAATCTAGAAAAGAAATTAGAGGGGAAAAGGGGGAAAAGAGAAGGAGAGCATAAGAAAAGATAAGGGAAGATTTCCAAGGTTGTTGTGATGCTGTCATGTGC